TATACACTGCATTACTAATTTACACATAAGATACTAAAGACGGCAATAGAGAAAGTAAGGCAGCTATTGATTGCATCTGATGTCAGTCCTGTGAAGATAGGATCTCACTTCACCAAGCACCAAGATTTTGAACATAAGAGGAGCAATACAATGTAGATAGGGAACCTTGAGAAGAATTGAATAGATGGAGAGTAGAAAATGTTAAAATTAAATTTATTTAACTTAGGGAATTAGATACGCTACAAAATACTAGTGAGTAATCAGATACAGTCCTTAAAGTCACGCTTCAAAATGCATTTCGTGAGGGATAAATACACTATGCTAATGCACCAAAGCACAAATCAGTAAAGAAACTAATATTTGATATAAGTAGCTACTGTGTCTGATACCAATATAAGCTTTAAATAATCGAAAATATGTAGGCCGTAGGTAAGGTAGAGAAATGCACAAACGCGGTCATGAGAAAACCTAAAGAAGCCGTTATAAATTCCTCTTCTTCACAAAATTTGGTTCTACAAGTAACTGTTTTTAAATGTTTTAATGCAGATTTCATAAAACTAAACAATAATTTCTCTCGACTATGAAGCTTAATCTTCACAACCGCTGAAAGAGAATGATTTTATGTATGTCTCAGAATTATTTCCTCTTATGAACAATAATAAATCTATTACAGCAACCGATGAGAAATAACATGACTTCATTTCACGTCATGAAGTTTAAACTTTCAACCTATTGATTGAAAGTCGAATCTACTGACAAGGAATGAACCCACTCCAAGCTCTCTTACTATTGAATCTTATCAAAAGTTGTAGAATTTATAAATATTCACATTGTGTTCATCAGTCCAACATTGTGATCTAGCAGTAATTATCGAGCCACACTGTTTGAAATTTGATCTTTGAAGGTCTTACCATGGGAAATTTACTAGTTTGAGACCAGAAACACTAAAAGCGACAAATTTTATGTGGCGATAACTGTACCAGGATGTAGTGAACCTAGTCTGCATTAATAGCAACTTTCTTCGGCGATTATACCATCCCACAAATGATGCTGTGGAAAGTGTCTTAAAAATAGCACACATCCAACGCTCGGCTTTAATGCATGATTTCCTAGAACCGAATTGCCAACTACGTGTTGCATCTTTCGGTCACTTGGACGTGCATTATTCCAATTTACCATAGATTGCATTTTCATTAAAAGTTAAACCCACAATAATAGTAACAATAAATTCGAAGATTGAGAATGAAACTAAGGATCTGGAAAAAGTGAATACGTCTGCACCCCTGGAACAGATTTTGGGTTGTCACTTAAGACTCACAGATACAATTTACTCACATCACGCAATCTTCAGCTAAATTTGTCAATGACTCACCTTGACAGGAAGTGATTTCATATGCTGATGTTACGTGATATTTCTGGTGACTTCGAGACTATTTTAAATGTGTCAGATGTGACAATAAGCATCACTAAGACCTTAGAATCCGATGTTCTGCTAAACGGTGAATGACCAGTACCTAGCTTACAGATACGTTGAAGAAAAAACTTCTGGTAAATCGGGTAGAAGCATTGACAAGGTTCCAATACATACTTTCATCGCAGCTAGAAAAATCATGAGTCGTTGGAAATGTGTTGGATTAGGTCGAGATTTTTTATATTCAGTAAAAGAACAAGAATAAAACTCAAGATCTCTTATTGGGAAACAGAGCAAAGCGGGATCTTCGAGATCACGGAGGTTGATCTACTGCTATCAACAAATTCTAATGCTACATTTAGCGGACCATGTAAAAAAAGGTGTACTGTAGATGGAATAGTCTCTAGAAATCACTTCAGTACTACTCTAATGGTTTCATAATTAATGCTAATTTACAAGACCGTTTCTATGGTTAATGAAGAACTTCATCCAGTCCGGTATACCACAAAGTCGGCTTCGAAAACTGAGAATACAAACAATTTTCACCCAGTTCACTGTTCTAATTTAGTTCCCCTTTTGATTAACAATGATGTTATTAAAGAGGAAAAAGTCAAAAAAGACGAAAGAAATGAAAAACAAATGCTAAAACATGCATGACACCACCGACGACTGAATTACCGCCTTTGAAATAAATTAAAAGGCTTCACAAACTCACAATGCACTCTTGATTTTATGTATTATAACAACATCAAACTTAAACAGATTCATGACGGTTTTCTCAGTTAACCTCCCCATAATGCGTTAAACAGATAGGCATTATCGTTGGCTGTAGTTTTATGTGTTGAATTTAATGTGATGGACTTGGTGTTTATAAAACATCATTTCATACGTGTAGGGCCAGTAAAATGTCAGTGGGTCCCATAATCAGCCTCTCTATAATCGGTTACGTTTCCTGCAACTTCCAAAAGTTGGTCACATTGGTGATTACCGTACTTACTGATGTTTACCATACGCCTTGCATTTGCCGTTATCTCACACGGTAAACCATTACTCGATTTTCGGACTACACGCAAGTCATCTTTATTCCATTTTCGGTTTGTTTACATCCAACACGGATTAAGAATATATTTAAGCGGTCTCAAAAATTCTGCGCCAACCCACCATAGTCTTCATGTATGTTTGTACTAACTAACCCAACAGTTACACCAATAATAACCAGAGGAACTTTCAGCGCAGCTCTCAGTGTATATAAGGACGACATTGTTTTTGCGGTGACATTACGACACACTCTAACTACTATCGTTATTCAACTTCGACTTCGTACTTTCTGTATCCTACAGAGTATAGTTTCTTCGAGGCTGTCATCTAACAGATGATTTCGGTGCAGCAGTCGGCTGTTTAAATGCTTGATTATTTAAAAGCTGTTCTGTTCCATTGGTTATCTGACGACCTAATCATTCGCGCTAATCATCAGTTCGCGAAGTCGAGCGAATCTCCTTCAAACTAATGACGACATTGTCGCCTCAATCACAACACTGACAGCGTTACTCACCAATATAATTGACACTAGTGCAGATTAGCACTCTTGGCTTCTTATGTCCTCATTGATATTTTCGGCTGTTATTAAATCTATATACAGCTATTGCCGTTTATCGTCCTGTAGAGAAAGCTTCATAATGGCACTATCACACTCAGTTTGTAGTCTACGACCTTTACTTATTGAAACAGCAATAATCGATTTTTCAAGCTCTGACGACAAAGTGATCAGTAACTTCGTTATTAAGTGGCAAACCACACAAGAAGTACGAAGACGTGGAAAACACTACTTCTTTTCAATCTTATACTTCTATACTTACAGTTAATCTGCTAAGTATGAACATGGATAGAATTTGACGCTCACAAGCAGTAAACTGTCAGTGACATGGACTGACTTTCTGGTTTAAGTTAATTACTATACCAACATAAGCATCAATCGACAATACCCTTATCATACTGCTACTGTAGTATCGTCAATCTTGCGGCACATGGAACGTCGCTTACCCGAGGAATCCAATCACTTGTCAATTCAGTGTATTTCAATAACGCTTGATAGAACCTGGAAATGTCCGTTTTTTTATTTTTGTCACTATTTATTACTTGACATTCAACTAACCTGTAAGTCATACTTTTAAGCACATGGATAAATCCAAAATTCCCAAATTTTTTATTACTAGCTGTTTCCCTATCAGTAGCTGTCGCGCCCTTCCAATTCGTCTTACAGGTCAGCAATACCAAGAGAAATTTCGTCATAGTTTGGCATCCCCTGATGCGCCACTATCCTCCACGTGTTTGGTGCCGATTTGAACGGTTGTTGAGTCTGGTAGGGTAGTATTGCAGGACCAGTGAAATGTCACTAAGCCATAGCAAAATCATCCGGTAGTCGGGTCACTGTGTATCAAGCAGTTCACTGACCTCCAAAGTCAGGGATAATCAAAGCGCATCAGTTGGTTGCACACTATGGACTGGCCCATGCAGTGGTAGTTGCATTCTCTTCCTCGTATCTACTCTTACTAAAATATTTTCCCTCAACATCAAAGACGGCAAAACACATGAATATTGTCCATCAGTTCCCTAAAGACACTGATCACATTCCCAGAAACACGAGGTAGTTTGGCTGTCAAACTCATCAACAGAGTCATTTTGACAAAAAAATTAAATTCATTACTTGTATATGCATGGTAAACAAGACACGAAAACGACTTGGTATGCCCGTAGATAAGTCATTCAGCTGTCCAGGGTTTCTAAGATGTGAGAGTTGCGATTTGTCAAGGAAGTAAGCTTGGCTATCAGTGGGTGTGAATATGATATGTCTGAAGGTCAACATATGCCCGGTCTAAATTGAAGCTCGTGGATCCTCATTTCTCCTATTGTATGTTCATCATTTTAACTGACACACGCTGTCGATAGCTATAGATTGGTCACAAATTTTTACCGGATGTCTGAAGAAACTGAATAGTCACTGAATCATCACCGAGGGATCTTGAAAGAAAGAAAAACTCATTGGTATACCCACCACGTGTAAAGCCTGTACACAGGTAAGAACGGGCAATATCCCGGAGCATTACGAGTTTATAAACATGAGGAAAAACGTAATACTTTAATAGTCATTGGGATGGTTTGATTAAGTCGATGACTAATCCTCTATGATACAACTATATAAGCAGGCTACTGGACTATTTTAAACGATAGCAATCCGGATTAGTAACTAATAATCCCATGTCATCAATCTGTGGGAGATCACCTAGGGTTTACTCAAGTGTTAGCTAGCATGAAAACTAAAATCTGAGTCATCAAGGCAGAAATGATGGTTATTAGTGAATATAAGAAATGCGGAGGGAGAAATCCCAATAAAGAATAACAAATAACGATACCAATAACAAAATGGAAGTTGGAAAATACCAGCTACTAATTTAGACACCAAGGAGTTTATTTATACCATTGGTTGTTAAGAACGGATAAAGCTGTTTATTTGTTCAATATTGGATAATGTGCATGTGTAAATGGTTCATGGCTCACATACTGACGACTTCAAGACAGCTTGTTTTGATTGATGAATCGTAAAGATAAAACTGAAATGACGTTTAACGAGCGGAGTAAGAACTTTAATGGGAGTAATTCAGATTTGACAATTCACTTGAGGAGCCTGGTAGAAAAAATTTAGTCGACATACTTCGTCTTCTTAACGCTATTTGTCGTGTAATTTTGTAGGAAAAATTAGTAGAAGTTGTAAAACGATAGTTTAGAACAACTATAAAGGGACTATGCTCAAAAAACAACATACTATGCAAAGTCCAGAGTGAACAGAAGAGAATTCCGGCCGACATACCACACATCCCTGACAGATTTGTCTAGAGACTTCTAATCATTTATTCTAGGTAAATAGCTTTTATAACTCCGCCTGTAGCTCTTCTAGAGGTACTGCCGGTCCCAAGCCCGGATAAAGGAGGAGGGTTGGGCATGGGGTTAGCGACCCCATACCGTAGAAAAACTAACTCGCTAAAAAACGCTAACCAGAAAAAGTAATTTAAACCATTTAAACTCTGCCCTGGAAGTTGAAGGAATAAGCAGATATGAAAACGATGAATAACAACAGGAAAAGATTGACCAGGATGAGTTTGATGGAGAATGCTGGTGGGCGGCCTATGCTCCTCCACGAGGGGTAACAAGCGTAAGTAAGTAAGTAAATAGCTTTTATATAGAAACAACTGTGGATTCGAAATAAGCCAAAATACAAATTTTCGATAACTAAGGCGTCTAATACATCTCATACATACCAAAATACTGATCGCTATAGTACCGATATCTGTCAGTCACAAAACTCTCTAACCGAAATTAGCAGTAAACTTAACCAGTTAGCACCCTTCACATATATATGGGCCCTTAACAATGACAACAACTCACTAAAGTTGAATGTTTCTTGGTGTTCGTAGCTGGAGAAGTAATAAAAAGAGTAATGTCCTCCTCTAATGTAACAAAAGTTCCCGTGGATTCCATTAAAAATTTTGCAAACATCGACTGGTCCTACACAGTGATCCTTCCACTTGGTCTTATTTGGGATGAGTTTCTTCTCTGGTGACGTCAATACTTTACTTTATTTTAGTCCGAAGACCTGTCTGAACTCAATCGCTCCATTTATAACAAAGACCCATACGTCCCTTATTGTGATTATATTCCTTTCAAATTCAGGTCTAAACTAAGGCTTTTTGTTCGACAAGACCTTTAAGATATTCTCAACACCCAGTCAGTTTTCAGCAACAGGCTTCCGATAAAAGAAGGAATTATTGACTGAGCGACAATATTCCAATTTACTAAGCAAAAATAGCTTTTGAACAGATACTCTAAGGAAGAGACCTTTTATTCAATCTGACATTCCTACTATCCTGAAAGTCAGTGATGTACTTGCAGAACTATGTGAGCTGCTTAGCAACACATTTGCTCAGGCAATCACTAAATGTAATCAGAATGAACTCATAGTTAGCAATTCCAACCTCATATACATTACTAGATTTGAAATTCACGCCGAGTATTGTGAGAAATGCAGTAAGGTCATTAAAGCCTACTCTCGGATGTGGTTGTGGTGGAATACCGGATAATTCAAATAAATATGAGGATTCTGACATTCATATTCTGCTTACTAAAGCATTTAATCACTCCTTTGATTCAGGAATTTTCCCATACCAGTGGACAACCACATAAATCATCCCTTACTTTAAAAAGGGATCCACACTGGATCCAGATAACTACCACCCGCTTAACCATACTTCCATTTTATCTAGAACTATGGAGATTATTATTGTGATTAGCAATCATTTAGATAACCACCAATGGATTGTGTCTTCACAACACAAGTTTATTTACCGATAGTCGTGCATGACCTGTCACCTGTAATATTTCGATTAAATAATAATCAATAGGGATAAAGCGAAGCTAATATCATCTGGAGCCCCTCTGGAGTTACTGCCCGCTTCAAGCCCGGATAGAGGAGCAAGGTTGAACATGGGGTTAGCGAAACCATCCCGTAGAAAACTAATGTCAATAAACGATTACCAGAAAACATTATTCAAACCATTCAAACTGTGCCCTGGGTGTTATGAAGTCTTCATTTAGGGGAGTTATGACGCCTCATAGTGAAAGACGAGTTCCTTCGGAAGTCGCAAGGCTGATGTCCCTTCTGACAACCGCAGCAACCATTAATTTAGGTGCATGAAATTTTTTTATAATGTAAGAGACCAGGAGAGTTTTCCAAAATGCCACAGAAATGAAAGATACGATCTGGAGCTGCTTGGAACCAGTGGAACACCTTGGACGCAGGTTGGGCAATAAAGATTAGCTTTAGGAAAGCTTCTGTTATACTCCGGCAATGAAGAAGAAAATGCTCCATATACACAAGACGTTGCACTGATGCTATCCAAACAAGTACAAAACGTACTTATAGGATTGGAATCTCATAAACCTAGGATCATCAAAGCCTCCTTCGAAACAAAGGGGGAAAGGCGCTGCAATGATCGTCATCCGATGCTATGCGTCTGCCGACGATTACAATGAAGACGTTAAAGATCAATTCTATGATAGGCTGCAGTCGATCGTCCAGAAGTGCCCAACAAAGGACCTGATCATTTTGATGGGATATTTATATGCCAAGATTGGAATGGACAACACTGGATACGAAGACGTCATGGGACGACATGGACTGGGAGAAATGAACGAAAAGGGTGAGAGATTTGCTAACTTATGTACCTTCAACAAACTGGTCATGGGCGGCACTATATTCCCACATAAACACATTCATAAAACCACATGGACTTCACCTGATCACAGTACACAGAACCAAATTGACCATATCTGCATCAACAAAAAGTTCAGGAGGACGATTGAGGATGTGAAAACCAGGAGAGGAGCTGACATAGCATCAGATCACCACTTGCTTGTCACCAAGATGAAGTTACAGCCTAACAAACACTGGACAACGAGGCGGATAACATCAAAAAAGTTTATTACGGCCTCTCTTCGGGATACTGACAAACTGAACAAATCCAAGATAGCCCTCAGCAATAGGCTCCAGGGAGGCACCAGAACCGACAAACGCAAATATGTGAAAGACTTAGCTATGACAGCGGAAGGGGCTGCAAGAGAAGGAAACATGAGACAATTATATGACACAACAAAGAAACTTGCTGGAAATTACCACAAATCAGAACGACCAGCGGAAAGCAAGGGAGGCAAAGTAATCACCGACATTGAAGAACAGTGAAACATGTGGGTAGAACACTTTAAGGAACTCTTAAATCGACCAGCCCCACTGAACCCCCACAACATCGAAGCAGCACTAACGGACGTCCCACTCAATGTTGGCCCACCAACAATTGGAGAGATCAGCATGGTCATCAGATAAATCATGAGCGGCAAAGCAGCGGGACCAGACATTACATCGGAGGCACTGAAAGCAGATATAGCAGCAGCTGCAAAGTTACTCCACATTCTCTCCAGTAAGATTTGGGATGAAGAACAAGTACCAACAGACTGGAAAGAAGGACTTCTGTTCAAGATACCAAAGAAAGGCGATCTCAGCATATTGGCCATGAAGGTACAGATACATACACGATGAATAACACTGAGCTACCTACTGTCCAGCCACACAATCACTTAGGAGTCTTCGTTAGTCAAGACTTAAAGACTACTGCACACTGCTGTGCAATAGCTGGAATTCGCTGCCGACTGAGCTAGTCCAAGTGACCTCCCAGGAGTCCCTCAAGAGGAAACTTGACTTATTCTTAAGGACTAAGGATAACATATTATTATGATTTACCAAATTCTTTTTTCCTCTATTATCATTACTATACCTAGGTTTTTGCCTGGAGGTATTAGTGATCCACTGCTACTAGACACGGAAGCCCGTTAAGCGAAAGCTTCTTCTATTCCGTCCTTAACCATTTGAACCATTTGAATCGCCGCCAAATGTCCATACGCTAAACAGTCTCTGACTTTGTATACAGTGTTCGTGCGTCCTAAACTTGAGTACTGCATACAAGCAGCTAGCCCCTGCCTAATAAAAGACAGTGAACTCTTGGAAAGGGTTCAGAAAACAGCAACTAAGCTGATTCTCTGGATAACAAGGCTCAATTATGGTGCTAGACTAACCAAGCTAAAACTATTCCCGCTGTCATATAGAAGAATCAGAGGTGACTTGATTACGGTTTTCAAACTGCTTAGTGATAAATTTGCACCTGATATGCTCTCATTTTTCATGTCTTTCAAAGCATAAAATTTACGAGGACACTCCAAAAAAGTTCACAAGCCCAGAACGAATTACTTGTCAGCTGACTATCGACTTTCCCATCGAATCACCAATGAGTGGAATTCATTAACTCAGCACGTGGTTAAGGCTCCATCCGTCGACTTTTTCAGAAGAAAGTCAGATCAGCTGAGAGAACATCATTGCCAGGACTAACACAGGCCATCATGCCTCCTGTCTTTTCAAAATTGAAACGGAAACTGGAAGCCTAAAATATTTGAAACTTGTTGGTATCTCAAGGTCGGTTGAGGCGCACGAGATTATAAGATAGCACCGTTCTTCTGGCTGAACTGTAAGTTATTGACAAGCGGTTTTTTCCTTGTTTAAGGAATGTATAGTTTGTACGCATGGGACTATATGGGACTAAATATCCGGAAACAGCACCATGATGCTGAACTGCAGTTCAGGTTTTCATACACTGAAAAGTGGACAGATGACTTTTTAGAAGTCGCGTGTTATGTATAACTAGGTTTGACTTTCTTGGAACTAATTGGTTCTTACATTGTGAATTACACTGAATTTAAGCACGAGTTATTATGAACAACTGTAAAACTACGGGTCAAACAGATGGAAACAATATTTCTCAGTAGATCGTCGTGTGGTTTATCTGTAATGCTTGATCGATCTCCTTCAACTAGTCTATTGATTCCCATCCTCCCTTTTTTAGGGAAAATTTTTATCTGTTTTGGAGACATCTTGGAAAAGTCATCATAGAAAATTTTGGGGAAATGGCACAAAAATCCAAAAAAATTCCCAGATCTGGGGAAATCCGCAAAATTTGGGGAAAAATAACTGTACTTTGTGAAAAAAATTCCCCAAAATAGGGAGATTGGGTTTTAACCAGGTTTGCATCAATTTCGTATTCCCTACAAAGCTGTTTGTTTCAGGGAATCGTATAACTTCAATTCTCTATTTTCAAGACATGCAAACAAGTGCTAGACAAAGACGTCAATCTGGCTTAATCGAGTTCAGTTATTTCTAATTGATCTCACGGTGTTTCTTAGCTGTCGAACTTGAGCATTTTGATGCGTTTTCATTAAGGAAGAAACAGGCGTTCAGTGTATTTGGTATTGCATACAGCTGCGTTTATATTGCTCAGATAAATACTTTGGTTTTCGTTACTGTCGTTTTGATCGTGTTCTTTTTGTGTGGATATACAACTCGACTTCTGTCACAACAAGCCTTTAACATTTCATCCGACAATGAGTTTATCCGCAACAAAGCATCTATAACTACATTGCCCTTTATCAGAGATATACATTATATCTATAGCCAACTAAAATACTGTCAAGTTGCCGGGACTATAGGGAAGAGCACTGGTCAAGTGATAGGTTAAGTAAAAATATTACTGGTTCACTTTCTCTAAAAATGAATTTTAGACTTACTACCGAAGTACTGAATGTCCACCAACCGTTGTTGTTACCTTGACTTGGTGGTCGGGCCTGTCTATCGTGATGAACCAATCGGGCTATACTGGCCGAGACATTCGTTCTTCAAGGTCATACAATGCCAGACAGGTCTGTTGGAGAGCAGTAAGACTGAAAGCAACAGACCCAAGGTACGAAAGCGAAATCGCACTGCTGACTGATAACCAGCATAACAGCGATACTAATTTCCAACAAAGGAAGGGTGGGGTCAAGCTGGGTCGACCATAAAATTGCGCACTTCTTCTTATCCCACAGATATCCGTCTCTGGCGGTAAGGTCTCAAATACGGCGCTAACGCAAAAATTACCCACAAAGAGGTCGTTTGTGACCGGCTCTAAGCAGTTGTCCCTTGGGCACTATGGTCACCACCTCTAATCCAATTTCCTTTTCAGGTACCTCCAGAAGAACCGTTCCACAGCGTTGGCAACCGGAAAGTGATAATCGAGACACACCCTCCTTGTATCTGGCGACCCGATGGCTCGTCCTCGTAGACTGGCAGGTGTAGGTGTAGCACTGAGTACGAGGGCTGAACAAGCACTATTAGAGCGGACCTCTGATAACAGTCGTCTATGCGCTGTTCGGCCAAATGGCTCCGTAAGAACTCGGAAGGATAGGAACACACGTCGTTGCCTTTTCGTCGTTTCTGGTTACGCTCCCACTGACTGCAGCCCGGATGAAGTGGAAGATGAATTTCATAGAAAGCTCTCTGAACTTCTTCAAAAAGCTAAACGCTCAGACAGTACTTGTAGCAGGTGACTTTGATGCCCAAGTAGGTAGTTTAAACCAAACAGAAAGACATTTAGGTAGGTATTTTGGTATTACGGCTTAGTAAACAGTAGTGAACGTCCACTGCAACTGTGTTCAGACAATTTTTATTTTTAGCAAACACTAATTTCAAGTATGAGGAGAGATATCACCTAACATGGCGACTCCCTGCTCCAAACCAATGATGTACTCAAATAGACCATATTGCTATCAGTCATCGTTGGAGAAGCTCCATAGAAGGCAACCTCTCGTTCTAGAGTACATGTTTAGACTCTAATCACTCTCTAATACGAGTACGCACCCCATCTGACTGGTCTCAATCATTAATCATGGCAATATATAAGAAATAATCAAAACCATTCAGTGATAACCATAGAGGGATTAGTTTAACTAATATAGCACCTAGAATAATTATGGGGCGTCTAACAAAGACTCATGAACTGTAAACACGATCAAATCAGGCTGGCTTCAAACCTAGTTGTGGCTGGATCGACCACATATTCACCATTCGTCAGATTTTAGAACACATGTATGCTTATCGAAGTCCGACAATGGTGGTCTTTCTTGACTTAAAAGCAGCATTTGACTCTAGACCGAGGGGTTCTGTAGCAGTGTCTGTCATTGAAAGGTGTACCTGAGAAGTACATAAACCGTGTGAAGCCTCTTTACTCAAACACTACCAGTCGAGTGGGAGCTTGTGGCGAACTGTCATCTGATTTCGCAACCTCAAGTGATGTCCGTCAAGGCTGTCCACTATCTCCATTTTTGTTCAGTTTCATCATAGACCTTTTACTGGAAATAACTTTCTCGTCGTCTGAATTTTCGTGAATTACTGTGCTATCAGGGGGTCAACTTATTGACTTGGAATGCTCAGATGACAGCGACTGTCAATTTCCGAGATACGTGTTTACGTTTGTTGAACGAACAGGTATGGGGTTTTGAAAATGCCATTTGTTGTAATTGACACGCTCAAGGACAATAATGAGAGTAGGAACTGGTGTGACTAACCGTTCGATTACTGACATTCAAATGGTCTAATGGTAATAATAATAATAAGACAATATTGATTGGACAATAACGATTATTAGTGTCTGGAAATCCGTTATACTAGCAAACAGTATAAATGCCTCCATTGAATATTCTTACATCATTCCTTTCCAGTCACAATTAACGTAAAGGACAGGCGCTATATTCAACACAACCAGAGTCACAAAAAGTGAAGGGATCGACCTAAAAGAAGGGGATCTCAGTGCAATCAAATAGGAACATTGGTGCTAACACTACAAATTCTTAATACTACGACTGTCCATTCATCTTATAATTGGACGCAGCTGAAATCAAATGCAATCGCCATAAGTTTTTCCATCCAGAAAAATCAAAAGTAACGGGATACGATACCAATATTGGTGTAAAATCATTGAATAGCAAAGTCATTTAATTAGTTTACTTAAAATGTTCCTATGCTTTCCAGAGTATCACGGCCCACTTTACAGCGTTTTAACCGCGAAAAACCATTAATAAAATCATACCCGACCAACCAATGGCATTCTGAAGCAGTCAAACCACAATTAAGTTCTGAAGCCCTTATGTACCTGCCCCAAGAAATTTCGAGATACAGTAACACCCCATTAGTACATCAACGCTGTTATTCAGCGTCGCAGTGACCGTCCTGTGAACTGCAAAATTGAATAAAAGTCAAACCTTTACAATAATTCTACACTTCAATATCTTTATTACCAACAACAGGCAACATAAAGTGAAACTTACAGTAATACTCGTTAACACTGAACACTGTGCCTATAAAACATCAGTCAAAAGTTATCGCATCAAATTATTCAGTCAGTCAGCTACAACGTAGGACCAGGCACACATATGCATCGGTCCAAGTTGCCATACCTCGTTAGCACAACAAGATGAACACCGGATTCATAGAAATAGTTAATTTAGTGGTGGTAGTATATAAAAGATAGGTTGTATATAAAGATATAATCAAATTATTACTTACATTATCTTTTTTCCTTCGGAAACTTTTGAAGTTCATCACTAATGTCACGGAAAGAAACTTGCATTGCGATGTCATACAATTTTTCAAGGTATTTTTCTGTGACAGTTGATAAAAAGCGTGGTAATGCTCCTAATAATTAAAAATAAAACGATACGATTTTACTTTATACGCCGTTATAAAGCCTTGAGTTCCGAAGATTTCTTTTAGATGTAGTGCCAATTAGTGTTAATTAGCTGGCCACTTCAGGTCTCATGACGTACGACAATATATAGCGCATGGAAGTTTTTGGGTGATCATTAATTAATCGCCTCATTGACATCTGAAATATAAATTAATAAACAAAAAGCTTAGTGAACTTATGAATCCCTTCTTCATGTTTTATTGTGAAACACACACATCCAATGTTCTCAGTTCCTCCTCAGGTGGGGAACGTGGACTTGGTAATCCAATACCAAATCTCCATGGATTATCACGCGCATCTGACTTAGACCGTTACATGAACTATTATTTATTTGAACATATATTGGTAAAAAGGGAGCACCAGATACATATGCACCACGCAATAACAAGGCGGCTGTGAGGAAATAGAGAATGTAAAGTGCGTATAAAAAAATGAACAAAAATTAGTGTATTAGGATAAAATAATAATAATGGGAGATGTAGTTTAGTTAGCAAAAATACAACCAGAAAGAATTTTTTCACTTATAGAAGTTACGTTTATTTTGCATACTTTTCGATGGGCTGATAGCTAGTCTTCAACCTAACCCAGTTTGATATTTAGTTACAACAGAAGCAATCAATGGTTAGAGACCTGAATGACATGGCTCAAAATCATTTGCAATGGCGAAGGCGCATCCACTCTTTGCGTTCTACCAAATTCTAATCTTCTGAATTCTTCATGTCTCTATATTTTTTCTCTTTGCAAATTTATTTCACTGGATTATACTGCTTGAATAGGATCTTCAAACCCTAATCTTCCCGATTACTGTTGATACTCTTACTACTTCTACCACTATGGAATTTTAATTGACAGCTGGATCTCTGCTAATATGGTAATGGCAACTCGAAATGATGTACGTACGTACGAAGTTATACGTTGTGACTCACTGACTGCAACAGGAGCTGTAACCCATTGAATGACATCGATCCGCTTAGGGCGATGAATTTGTTAGCCACTGAAACGTAAGGTAAGATTAACGCAAACAAGGGAATGATCAGAGTCCAGATAGGTACTCCGAAAGTTTTGTACACAACTACGCCAGCAATAGCTGATCGTGATGTGGTCAGAGTCCAGACTTCAGATGCAGAGGGAGGACGCCAGGCAGCACATCGGCGATGACTGTGCACGTAGTCAGCACCAGCCAGAAACAGATTGTAGTCTGCGCACAGTTGTAGTAGACGGTCACCGTTATCTGATTTACAACCAACAGGTCCCCATCGGCCGTCCAATCTACTCTCTTCTGTGCCTAAGCTCCCGACCTGACCATTCAAGTCTCCGGCTGGTACTACAATATCTGTCTAACGCACTTTTTGTAGAAGAACTATTAAGTGGTGGTATAACTCATACTCGATCGCATCCGAGCTGCAATCTATTAAAGCACAGGCTGAGATGACGAAAAGACATCGTTTCTCACAGCGATTTCCTCGCTTTTTGGTGGAACTTTCTAATCTAACAACACGTAACCGATTGTTAATGGGGATCCAATCGGACAGTTTGAATGGTATACGTGGTTTCAAGAAGAATGTTTCAGCATTCGTATTCGGTGGTGGCCTTCAACTTTCAACCAGTCAGTGACTTGAGATCGTTTACATAGAACGGTTTCCACCATAGACAAGCTTCTGTATGAGCATAATGTTGGCACTCGATCCTAATACTACTGATGACATGTTCTACGTAAAAACATGTAGTTTCGCAAATGTAAAAAAGACAGACTGTGGTTGCCAGTGTTACTTGTCCGGCCGAAAATTCACTACAAACAGGCATTGACGTGGAGGTTGACGGCAAAGTTTCAACGTTCGTAAATATGATATGCGTACTCTGCGACTGGTGACACTTGAGTGCCCAGCAAACTGGGCTTCAGATACTGAACGTGACTATTTCCAACCTACATTTCAGCAATATCCAGGTCAATAGAATTATACAGGTACCGTGGTCTCTATTTCAACGTATCTCTGTAAAAAACTAGAAGGACTACTGTACTTACATCTTAAGCTTCTCTATATTCAGTGGTAATGTGTTTTCACCAGGTGAAATATTGGCATGTCAACCGGCGAGTTTGCTGAACAATACCAATAAGTCCTTGGTAGTCTCCATATTGTTTATAAGAAATGAATGTCTGTGTATGTAACTTACCGTAGTAGTGGATAACCTCACACTTGATGACCAAACGGTTATCATCTGATTGACCACCGTTCTTCAGACACATGTCCATAATGCAGGTTACATGCGGTTCTTCACTGACAAGCCACTTGCTCCGATAAGTACCTGCTTCTTGCCAAATGCACTGAGGGCTGTAAACTGTTTTGTTGCAGGCTAAATGTTATTTAAAAATAATAAATTATTTCAAAGTATTAACGTATGAGTAAGCAAGATAAATCTATCCATGTAAACGTATGCTGCGACGAAACTCTTACGACGTTATTAACAGTTCATTGAAATGCACTTATAGCATACATCATCGATGTAAGCCCATATGTGCTCATGAATAACTACAGTGCACATAAATACTACTATTTCTCTAAAAGGGGATGGCTTCGTGAGAAAATCTACAGGTTCAGTAAAATCTGTACATATAATTAATCTATTATTTCCTGTATCAGTGATCAGTCCAAGTTTATTGTGGACTATTGCTACATTATCCGGCTTAAATGAAGTGAATCTAGTGTATCTGTATATAATTATCTGTTTATCGTAATCATGTTTAATTGATTTATCTATCGTAGTTACGGAAACACCAACTTCAAGCTTACATAATGATACCTCTTCTGCAGAACGCTGAGTTGCCTGTTTAGCCACATTGTAACCGCTATGCACTGATTTCTTAATGTGCCTTATGTAAGATTCGAATGGAAAAGCGGACTGCGAATCCAAAGTTCCATGTAGACTTGTGTCATCAGCAAGGCGCTTTAACGAATGCACATTACAAACGATATCTTCAAGTCCGTAACACCATTCATATCCTTCACGAAAATTACGTAAGCCATTGTTAACGGTATCTATTGCGCTGCTCTGTAGTCTATGATCCACTGACAAACAAATCACTGATGCTAAATGTACAGAGGTAACATTAAGGAATTTTTAAGCATTATGGAACCTATATAAACCAGGAACAGTCGATATTCGGTCGCTCGCACTGTCCAGCAGTTGGTCCATCGTTGTGGTACCGATAACTTCAAGGCAAGATAATTTTGGTCGTTATTGTGACCTAGTATCTCCTTACACTTCTTCCCAGTGGTATTATAACATTGAAAATTTAGAGACTAGTATGTTGACGTAAATCGTCACTAAGTGTGAAGCGAAATTCGGGTAACTAACTATCTGGTAGTAGCAACAGTTATCGTATTGAGATGTTTAAAGTGTTTTACTTCTGGAATACATTCTACAAACTTGACCCTTAATGAATGATGGTACAGTATTCCAGTAAGCGTGTAGATGTATGCACACTATTCCATGAATCACACATCATGGAAGTGCTAGTCTAATTATAATCAACCTGAGCTGTGCCCAGTAGTTGTTTCAGTTTGGAAGGGACAAGGTGACCTGTGTTAGCCCTGGCAATGGCAATCTCTCAGTCGATCCAACTTTCTTTTGAAAGCGACAGGTGGAGCTCCAATCACGTGTTCAGGTAATGAACTCTATTCGTTGATGATTCGATAGGAAAGTCGATAGTCAACTGACAACTAATTTTTTCTGGGCTTTTCGAGTGTCTTCGTGAATCCTCTGTTTTGGAAGAAGAGAAAATTGAAGGCATATCAGATGTGGATTCATCACTAAATAATTTAAGAACTGTGATCAAGTTGCTTCTGTTTCTTCTCTATGGCAATGGAAATAGGTTTAGTTTAGCCAGTCGATCATCATACGGGAGCTTCACTATTCGAGGAATCAGCTTAGTTGAATTTATTTGAATCTTTTCCAACAACTCACTGTCTCTTTTTAGACAGAGGCTAGCTGCTTGTATGCAGTAATCGAGTTTACTTTAGTTACTTAAATTACAGGCCTCTGCTGTCTCGATCATGATTATAACAGGGGTCTGCCTGTTTTATCGGAAATTTTACGACAGATTAAAACCCCAGCATTAGCTTTCTAAATTGATCAGAACGAATAATTTAGATTGTGTTCAGGGTGTTTACTCTAAACATTGTCAACGTAACGAAGTTGTAATTACTTGTTACTGTGCCTGATACAGATCTAAATCTTTTGTTTTAAATTTAGCGTACATACGTACTCCCATCAGTAAAAGCTGAATAATGTTCGCCTATTCTCGGACTAACGTTTTAAGGTCTATCCCGTTAATAAGAAGCTATGTTGGTTCGTGCTACTCAAGACTTTTTACGACTAAGTCAGATGCAAAGGAATCATCAGAAAACTGCGTTGGTAAGCTTATTTTTAATCTAGTATTTTAGTTTCTGATTTCCCACTGCTTAGAGAGGCTGTAAATGCACAAAATTTTGATTTGGTATCGAAAATAGTTGTGGAACATGTAATGAACAAAAATACATTCATATAACATTTGTTTATGTTAAAGGATCCTTTTGAGGTTAAACGCATACGGATCTCTAGCGAAAATTCAGAACTCTCTCCTAATCTTATTCCTTCACAGTCACACAGGCGAATGGTTGGATGCATTTGTAAGTAAACCTCAGCGAATGCTTTTTAGTTTTATTAAGTTCATTTTCCCCTTTTGTATTAAATTATGTGATGTAGTGTGCAGTCCACAGTCCTGGTTCTTCGTAACACACCTGTTAGATAGGATATATTTTGAAGACAAGATCAACAATTTCGTGAAGTTCGACGAGTTGGTGGCAAAAAATCCTTAACACTGAATATGTGAGAAAACTATAGATGCTCGCATAATCGTATCTTTGAATCGTAAGATCTACTGAGTGACAAAATTATAGGGACCTTAAGGTAGTCGAACTAATTAATGATCGCGGTTCTTGGGGCTTTTAAAACTTGTCATATCTATGTGAAAGATTGTTCGTTGTATGGTCCCTATACTTAAATGATACAAAGAACTTTGCTAAAAGAACCGAACAACAACGTGGATGGACCCATTTGTTATCTTTTTGTTGGTGGCTCAAATTGTATTGTCCGCCTACTACTTCCTGATCTTGAACTAATGTTTGTTTTTCAACATACCATTCACACTAAATAAAAGTACGTTATTAATTTAGAACTGGTTTTCTACCAACTAGGAAACCCACTCTGGCCCCAATATTGATCCGAATTTTTATGTATTATGTGACATTTATCCCGCAGAAAAAGATTTTATTTATTCAGAATGTTTTGCTTGCTAAATATATACTATCCAGACATGAAGCGTCTTATAGCAGATAATGTGTTCAAGATTGGTTTCTGTACGAAAGATTATTTAATACATTTTATTACCTCAATATAAGTTTACTTATAATTGTATTAGTGAGTTGGTGTTGAAGATATCATTCCCTCTTGCTTTTGAAGGTAAAAAGTGTAGAGTGAGTTCAAAACAGTCAAACACAACAACCCTACATCCTATAACATGGTAATTTTTGTATGCATCATGAAAAGGTATAATTCCTGTTTGTAGAAACACTCACATGACATAACAGCTACCATTTTAAATGCTAAAAAGGCCAGTGAAATAAAGAATGATACTGCAGTTTTTGTACTAATTAATTTAGAATAATAAGCAACGGTAATCACATGCATACTGACGTGAGAGAAGTTATTATCCACTCAAGCAGTTAGTGTAATCCACAAAGTTAATATTCTCATTTATTACATGTATAATTTATGGTGTATAGTACGGACATCCATAAACCTCCCCAGTAAATTCATCACATACATATAATATGACATAGATAATAAAGATAGTAGTCTAAAATTAATAAACTGGTTTCGGACCTGTTTCTAAACTTGGGAATTTCAACTACCCTATAAAAGCGGTTATTAATTATTCTAAACCCTATTATAATTTAAACAAGGTACTTTTCGGGTATGGTTAGACAAGTAAATGTCTCCGTGAATTAATTTATAGCCGAGTATTAAACACACCTTGGCGGATTAGATGAAGCTAAGGTATATTCTGGGGTTTATTGAATTATATATTTAGCACAAATTTTTAAAAACACTGTCACTTTCTTTTCCTTAGGTGAACCGGAAGCGGATTCTATCAACTGGCTAGAATTAGAAAAAGGCAATCCAGTTCAGTGTTATTGTGGTCACTGGTTTCAATTAGTCAATTATGAAGACTACTTTAATATGACTAATCAATAAAACTGTTCATAGATGCGTTTTAATCTATTAGTTTGATTTACTCCCATAATCAGTATAATATTCATTGCCGTCTTTGAATAACTAAAAACTGTATCGTACTATTCAGTGTAATAATAAATACCAAAACTGAACTGCGTAAAATCATTCTAATCTAAGTAGTATGTACTCCAAATGCATTTATTTTTCCGTTGGTTATTCTATTGAGTAACTTGCTTAATAACTTGTCGAAAGTAGATAAAATAGCATCAAATATATACAAACTCTGACCAAGAACTTTAACAGAGGAATCTAACCCCCAAAAAAGTATGGTTGGTTGTAAGAATTCTACACACTGCTGTATTTATTTTTACCAAAATTGACGGCATATTTTCCTGTTCAAAGATGGATGAAATATTTCCCGCAAATATTGGAATTCTAATTTTCATGATGAATTTGTAAATATATTACTGACCTGTTAGTACTGACATTCCTCAATATTGATGACACTGTTATAGGTCAAAATCTAACGCGACCAAACTGCTTGCTGTGCTGATAATTTACATAAATAATAATCTTGACTCACCCAGTAACAGAATCTTGTAATTGTAATCCTATGTTTTATAGTACTTTCGGAGATGACCTGTAATATACTTGTATTTAATATTCACTTTTTGAAGTTGTATAAGAGTCGAAAGTAAACTACTCACCTTTAAGGATCTATATGTTAGTTATTGGAGTGACTGAATATCAGTGCAGTGAAGGAGGCACCCAATATATGTGCACCACACCAATAATTCCATTTGTATGAGGGCCGGAACTCTGCCCGGGCGCCCAAACCGCAGTAGGTGGTTTCCTTAGGGGGCCGCTTCCCGAGCCTTTGACTTAAGGGTCTAGTCCACAAGGTAGCTGAGCAAGTTTAGAAAATGTAGTCCCATGGTATCCAGTGACTTACAATACGTCACAAGTTCCCTCAGAATCCTGTGTGCATCATTGGTTCAGAACGAAGGCTTTCCAACGCTGCTAGGTGGATCCTTCGTATCCACCATGGGACCTAACATCTCAAAAGAGCCCAGCACAACCAAGTTAGAGGTTGAAATCCAAAAAAAATTCGGCGAACTCTTTTTCTAAAATCCTTTATCAACATAATTTAAGTAAGATCAGTCATTTGTGAGGGCAATAAAACGTAGCATGAATACGAGTCGGTCCAAGTTATCACCTTACTTCAACACTTTGAGAGTGAAGTCCGCTAGATAGGAAATCTTATTACCTACGAAGAGAAGCTGAATGTTAAAAACATAGAGTTGAGGGGATGAATGAGGCCGAAGAATAGAAACTATGGGGGGACTTTACACTCAGGATGTATTTACGTATAATGAATTTAACTATACATGATTTCGAACTAAAACATCCAAATTCTCCAGAAATGAAGTAGGACTACTGCGGTTCCAGGAAATCTTCACTTACTGGTACGGTTCAATTCGAAAACATTTTATACATGATGTATCTGCCCCTAACTTTCGTCCAACCTTCCATGACCAAATCAGCCATGCAGAATATTGTAAAATAGCTCATAGGTCCAGAATCCAAGGGAACCATAATAACAGGTAATATGAAATGTAACACCATTGTGTAGGTACATAACTAAGTTTGAAATCGGAACAGTTAATCTCACAATAGGCTTGACAGCCGTCTATGTGCTGCAAAGATGACGATACACGCTGTTGTCTTCTTATCATGTTTGCGTACACCTTGCTGACTGCAGTATAGACAAACAGAAGAGCTCTATCGGAGGTATCCTGACCTAAACACTCGGAGATAGTAATCGTGGTTGATTTTAAGGCCCAGGTAGGTGTGAAGAATAAGAAGCATACAGAAAAGCCTTTTAGGATTTCAACTGAGCGGATAGGTAACGGTGACCGCCTGTGACGATCGTTCATTCTTAATATGCACCGATTTTAAGCATGAAGAGAGACACTGCACAACCTGGAGATAACCGGTACCATTACGGCAGTAAACAAATGCAATTGGAGACGTTCGGTGTAAGATCAGTGGTCTCTCGAGAGGATATGTTTAGACTCTAAAAATGCTCTGGTGTGGACTCGTATGTCGGCGTTTGGAAAGAAATGCAACGAGACTAAGGGTAAATACCTCAAGGTAAAACTAATTAGTTACTAAGTCGATCACATAAAAGATGTTTATCTTGAGGTAGCCTACGATGATCTACAATCTGCCGTAAAAGCAACAATGAAATACACTAGCAACCTGAATCAAAAGAGACAATTGCAAACAGTCGGGACCTAACGTATTCGCGATGTTACCAGTAGGTGTGAATAAGCAGTAGCTGTTTCTGAATTTTATTCTTATCGTTGATTATTCATTCGTTCAGTGGTTAGAGATCGATTCAGTAAGCAAATTATTTGTTCAGCCACCTAAATATTTTATCACACTAACTGGGTCATTATAAGATAAGCGATATCGTCTCCTGTTTTTTAATCAAACGGAAATGAAAGCCTCAACATAATAATACTTTCAAACCATAAGGCATAAACTCTGCCTGTAGCTCTTCTACGGCTACTGCCGGTCTCAAGCCCGGATAAAGGAGGGTTGGATGTGGGGTCAGCAAACCCGTTCCGTAGAAAACAACCTAGCTAAAAAGCGCTAATCAGGAAAAACAATTTAAACTCTGCCCACCGAGTTGAGGGATCTCCATTCAGAACAGTTATGACGCCTCATGGTGAAAGCCAAGATTCTTCAGAAGTCACGAGGCAGATGATCCTTCTAACAACCAGGACAACAATTAATATAGGTACATAGAACGTCCGAACAATGTGGGAGACCCGGAGGACTAATCAAGTAGCTAAGGAAATGAAGAGATACAAGTTAGTGGTGCTCGGAATTAGTGAAACTAGTTGGATGCAAGCTGGACGGAGTGGGTTAGATTCAAGGGAAATACTGCTGTACTCTGGCCATGAAGAAGAAAATGCTTCGCACACACAGGGAGTTGCTCTGATGTTATCTAAAGAGGTACGAAAAGCACTTATGAGATGGGAGTCTCATGGACCTAGAATCACCAAAGCATCCTTCAGAACAAGGAAGGAAATAAGAATGAATGTTATCCAATGCTGTGCAATCACCAATGATAGCAATGACGACGATAAAGATCAGTTATGCGAGAGGTTGCAATCGATAGTAGAGAAGTGGACAGCTTAGATGCGACTTTATTTATTTATTTAAACACATATATATATTGGTACAAAAGGGCACCAGATACATATGCGCCACACAAAATAATGAAAGTTGGAAGAGAAGGGATGAAAAGATAAGGCGGACTGAAATGTACAACCAGAAGACTCTTTTAGTTAAGAAAGTTAGAACCACTCTTTCTGTAGAAAGTAAAAGAAGGTTGCAGCAGGATCGCCACTGGCTTCTATTCTGAGCCATATCTGATAACGTCTCTAGCCACTGTGTTGCACCATCTCTCGGACCCCAGCCAGGGAGTCGTGAAGGACCAACGGAAGCTAGCCCTTTGCAGCTTTCTTTCATGCCACGACACCATGTCATACACTGACCTCCTCTCCGCTTTTTCCAACCAGTCCCAGAGTCGGCAAATAATGCACGACGTGGAAGCCTCTGGGACGACATTCGTAAAATATGTCCAAGCCACCGAAGTCGGTGTTTCAAGATGGTGACACCAATTGAATCATCGTCGCTGCGCCCGAACACACGATGCCGAACCTCTGCATTACTAACATGGTGTTGCCACTGAATGTCAGCAATCCTTCGGAGACAACGATGATCGAACACAGAGAGACGTCTAACATCCCCAACTCGGAGAGGCCAGGTTTCACAAGCATAGAGCAAAACTGCTCTCACCGACGCGTTGTAGATCCGACCTTTTACAGCCAGACTAACATCACGAAGGCGCCAAAGATGGCCCAGATTGGCATAAGCCGCTCTGGCTTTCCTTATACGTGCATCAATCTCATCACTCACGCCACCACGAGCACTTATATAGCCACCTAGATACACGAACTTCTCAACTACTTCAATCTGCTCACCATCCAGGGTGAGTACAGGATGAGAATCCTGCCAGTCTTGTAAGAGTACTTTGCACTTGGAGGGTGCAAAGCACATGCCGTACCTGCGGACACTGATTGCCAACTGATTAAGTGCGGATTGCATGCCTTGGGCATTATCGCACAGTAAGACAATATCATCCGCATACTCGAGGTCGAAAAGTCGTTCTCCAGGCAACATATCCACACCGCCATTACTTACATCCATCAGAGCTGTTTCCAGGATGTCATCGATAGCAAAGTTGAAGAGGAATGGTGAGATCGGGCAACCCTGCCTAACCCCACTGCTCGAATGAAACAAGAGAGAAAGGTGGTTGTATGCCCTCACTCTGCCTGAGGTGTTCGTATACAGGGCCTTTAAGATGTTAATGAACTTCTCAGGCACACCCTTCTTCAATAGACAATCCCAGAGAACAGTCCTGTCCAACGAATCGAAGGCAGCTCTGATATCAAGAAACACTACGATTGTTGGCCTGCGATAAGTATGACGGTGTTCTAACATTTGGCGGAGGGTGAAAATGTGATCAATGCATCTTCGACCAGATGATTTGAACTTCTCAGATAACCTAGCTCTTCTATCTCATATACACCAACAAATGCAGGTGACGACAGCCAATGTAGCAGTAAGCCTCAACATACACAAGGGGAAAAGTAAGAACCTAAAATACAGCACGGGGAACACCAACCCAATCACACTTGGTGAAGAAGTTCTGGAAGAGGTGGGAACTTTCATGTACCTGAACAGCATCGTCATCGATGAACAAGAAGGATATGATACAGACGTAAAGGCAAGGATTGACAAAGCAAGGACAACATCCCAATAGTTAAAGGATATATGGAACTCAAAACAACTATCTGCCGATATCAAAATCTTTAGTAGGAAGTTAAAACAGTCCTACTGTACTGAGCTGAAACTTGTGGAACTAATATAATCATCATCAAAGTAGTACAAATATTTCTAAACAATTGTCTACTGAATGTCCGTTGGCCGGATGCCATCAGCAACAGCGTATTGTGGGAGAGAACAAACCAGATGAGGTGGGAAGATGCCAAATAATTTGTGATTAACTGGGTGTAGTTAAGATCTAAGAGCAATTCAATACGTAAGGACTATAGTCCTGATCAATTCATGCATTATCTGTGCCTTGAGACTATCTAGCAACATATACATCTTTACAGTTAGTAGTGTAGTAACCATTGTAATTTCGTAATGGTATTTTGAGAAAACTGATATTTGTTACTAAAATGGGAATATTATTTAAATAAAAATATTGTGATTGTATTTACAGTGGTTTATTACTTGTAAAACCATCAGATATTTTACACTTGCACAAAATCCTCAAAAGTAGTTAGTGAATCATGATAATTAACGAGATTGATAAAAACTATAACTTGGCATCCGTATGATAGTAAACAGAAAAAGTTTTGTACATTCCATCGGTTATCATGGTCAATTATGATGAAACTTCTAATAACATTAATGGAGCGAATATACAAGACAGACATCTTTTTCAAGAATGAGGAAATATAAGGTACCACGGAAATTGTTAAAAATGAAAGGAAATATGCACAAATACTAGGCTGTAGGTCCAACCAGGAACCCTGGACGTTTACCAGGCCAAGCTTCTTTCGCGTACTTTTTCTTTTTGGGATAATTGGCTTCAACAAGACCCATATCTAGTCCAGAATCCTGATTAACACCTGAAACACTATCCAGTTCATTTGAAGCCCCTAAGATATCACTAGCACTTAGTCTAGATACACCTGCAGTATTTTTTCCCTCTGAAAAAGCATTTCCTAGAGTCCCAGGCCTTGAGTGTGCATAGGCATGAAGCATTGCTACAGTTGGTGGTAAAGTAGGCTCTTGAGGTTCACTTTCAACATCTGGAGCAAGATTTGGCACAGGTAAACCAAGCTTAGAAGCCAGACTGTAATGGGGTCCAAATATGTTTTTCATGTGCATCAAACTTCTTCCTGAGTTATGAACAGAGTTATTCCCATCTACATTATTTTTCCCAGTTGTTCGAAAAGTTTCAGGTAGTTCTGGAGCTGCAACACCTAAGCTAGCACCTTCATGACTGCCTTTAGCACGCTTTAAATGACAGAAAAAATTTAATACAATATAGGATTTAGATGTGACTTGGAAATTTCAAAAGTATTTAAAATGAGTACTAAAATATTCAAATACCTACTACAATCATATACAAAAAGCAACAGCATGATATTACTGCTAATATATATATATATATATATATATATATATATATATATATATATATATATATATATATATATATATATATATATATATATATACCGTATCTTAAAACTGCACAAGGCTTTCATATGTCTGTTTGGGCAGGGTGAATTAACAACCTGATGTCTTATACTTGGGGCTGGATTGTCAAAGGAAGTAGTTTAGGGACTTTGAACCTATGTTTTGTATTTTATATTAATTATCAGAAAAGAATAGTGGAAATAAATATGAGATAAATATTTCACTTTGGATGTGGATTTTACTCTTAGTATTCAGCAATTAGTCTCCAGTGTGGTATGGGAATACTAGAGAAACCCTTAGATATCACTTGCTTTTACAAGTTGATAGTATTTCATTATTAGGATGATTTAAGACAGAATGACACGAATCATTACCTTGTACATAAATCTGATAAATTAGACCGACTCCCTAAGAAATTAGAGGCAATGAAAAAACCTTGACACTTAATCGTTACTGGAAATAGATAGTCATAATTACCTTATTTGGTATGAAAGTCTCCTGTATAAGATTTCGGAATCTTCCGATAGAAGGATCAACATCCTCAGGATTAATAACTTCATCTGCGTCACTGAAATGCACATTTTGCAGTGGTCTCTTACGTGTTTTGTTTGTAGGAATTGTAGGATTAGAGGCAACATCAACCATACTACTTATACGACGGTTGTGTGCTGTGTTAAACTCGGTTAAATTATCCAATTCAACCTCGGATTGAGGAAGTTGAGAGTAGAGTAAGCCCAAAGAATTTGTGGCCGAATCAGACCCATCCAAATTGCGATTTTCTGGACCCATTGTACCATTACCATCTAATGTTTGCGAGTTCGGGTCTGAAGGATTTCCGGAAATGTTGTACAAGGGATTAGGACGTTCACGGATGATATAAACACGAGTAGACGCACCAAAATGTATTTCGGAGTCGATTGGAACCTATAAATAAAAACAATTAGCTTGTCGACTACATACACTAAAAACAAAACAGTTTTACGATCACAGTAAGTTTTACACTCAAACTCGGAAAATGGGGATGGATTCGGGTGTAACCTGTTGTCACATATGCTTATGAGAACTTGTTTCAGTAAGCCAAGGATTTCAGACAGTGAAATTTGACTATAAACTCATTCAAAACAATCCTCACATTTGGTGATAACATCGTATAAGTGGTTCGGTAATGATTCATGGGGATATAAAGAACCATAATTCAATAAGCTTTTAGCCCGAAATACCGCTTTTGGTGTCTTGAAAAAATAAAAACCAAACACAATGCATATTGAACATTACTTTATATCATTTATATTGAGTGGAAAAAAGATGGTGACTTAGAAGCATGAAAATATGGGACAAATGATAGTCATATTGGGTTAGTATCTAGTGGTTCATCAAGATTTGCTGTCAGTCAGTCGCAACGTAGAGAGCCTGGTACGTATGTAAATCTATCCAAGTTGTATTACCCCATTAGCACAGAGATAACATTGTCAGGCCAAATCTCAGAATAGTAGAGATAGTAACAGCATCAATGGTGGTTGAAAAGACTGGACATCAAAGATACGATTCAAGAAAATCCAAGTCAACGAGGTAAGAACAAAAAAGATCATGAGAGAACCAGAATCTCACAATTTAGAGGAAGACAAAGAATGGATGCAAACACGCTATTGCAGATAAATGTGAGCCACGTCATTGAAAACCTATAACCACTGGTTATGATAGTCAAGCGGACCCCAACCAGGTAGTATATGCCTATTATCACATCTCAGTCATATTGTTGACGACTTCAAGGACTGAAACCATGTTTTGGCCGCCCCTAGCTTTTTTCAGATTACACTAGACAACACCGCCCATCGAGAAACGCACTGGCTGGGCATACGTAACGCACTTCCCAAACACCTCGACTGATGAAAACTCACCACCTCACTAATCAATTTGCCATTCTTCCTTAGTGCCCCATACAAGGAGCACAAAGTTGTCATCATATTTGTGTGTGGATTGGGATACTGTCGTGTAGATAAACCTAAGCAAGGGTTCTACCCGGGAGGCCATTCCCCAAGTCCAGTCCACGAGACAGTGAAGCGATGCTAGATGTGGTTCAGCGTAGGAACGTGTTGCAATCATGATGCATAGTTCATGTTTTTCAATAACTATAAGAGGCACTGGATGAAACGAATCTAATATGGTTTTAATGATACTTAAACTACAGCTCTTAAGACTTTATCGTTTATATTATCTGATAAGCACTACGTGCATAGCTCGTTTCACCGATCATTATTCGCTGTACATAAAAAGGTTAGACCTAAATGATATGATATATAACAGACATCCGCGATTCATTTTATCGCAGATCTTGAGTAATGTATCACCCTTCACTAACATATTCCTTAATTATCCACCCCATTTTGCTTATTTTAGAAGTTTCATTTCTTTCTCAGCACACTTGTGTAGTATGACAAATTAAACTACTGTAAAAACCAATCTGAAACAACCAACCTTTAATGACTTTGCTTTTTGAAAACTCTTGCCAGCATCGTGACATAAAGTTTTCAATTTAAACTGTTAAAACTAAGCGGTAGAAAAACATCGAATGTTTACACTATGCTTGTGTCTTGTCTTGTCTACACAGAGAAGTTTCCCTAACGACTGACATATAAGTTATAGAAGTAATTTTCATCTGCCCGGTCGTATTGTAGAATAAGTGATTGGGTTAAAAGTGAGAGCGTATACAAATATCTACTTACAACCACTGCAGCACAGAAACCACATATTTTACATGGAACTATAAAAATAACTTGTACAACATGCTAATGAAATAACAGCCTTAACGTATGGTTTCAAAATCAATAACTAGGTTGGAGCTTAGAAGGCGTCTATTGAATACGAGCGTTTATGAACAGGTCTAAACTGTTATACATAACAATGTTGTTATGTTTACAAACAAAAAGTACGAAGAAACTGTTGAATGATCTAAGAAACTACGGTTACATAAATTTAAACGAAATGAACCCCAAGAATCAAGCCTCTATTTAAAAAAATATACCGTCTCAATCTAATTAAATGTAGCAGGCAAGGGAGATACAAGTGTAGGATTACGATGAGTTAATATAAAGAAAAGCTGGATCTATTTAAGCTGGCTTACTATAGATTAAAAGCGGATGTAATTATGGTTAGGGTACCAAATAATAATTTTGGATGTGGAACGACTTATTTTGAATAGGTTTCACAATTTAAAGGATATAGCAGGCACGTTCGAAACTGAAGGATGAACAAAATATTTGTTGCAAACAGGTTTTTCCACCAGGTAACCAGCTCTTGGAACCTATTGGCGGAATGATTGGTATCCACATTTCCAATTGGCTTACACAAGATAAGACTGGACACCTACAGAATCTTATCAGAAAGAACTAACACAGACACTCGGGCTTCTGTTATTAATACACAAATATAAATCAAACAGTTGCAGAAGTAAATTACTTGTTTTAAGTGGGGGACCAGTAGATGTAAGGTAAACAAAACTAACCTGCTGAGGTTTGTGTGGTTCCAACCTAATTTTCCCAATAAAAGTTCCATGAACACTTCCGAGGTCAATTAGGAACGCACGACTCAAAAATTTGTGCCATACCAAAACTGCATGCACACGTGAGCAGGATTGATGATCCACGGCAAAGTCGCATAACTGTTTATTTCTACCGAAAAAGTAACAGCTCTTTTCATCTATTATAAGTTTCTATGATATTTAGGTACAGACAGAATATGAATTACCTGAATCAATTTCCCATCTTTGAGCACATCTAGATGCAGACCTGTTGGGGGTTTACCTGACCTATGTTTCAGGAAAACAATGTCAAAAGCTTTGCAGCAAAAGCTCTTACCAATTAGGTATTTTGAAATTGTTAACTAGTAACTCATTTGGTCTAGAATTATTCATGAGAAAAATGATACTGTAGCGATGTAGTACATAAAGCCACCCACAAAACCACTTACGGTTTCTGTTAAACGTTCAATTCGAATTATTCAAATTTGTGCAGTAAGGACAGAAGGCCTATAGCCTATGTTGTTCCTTTCTTATTATGCTTCTGTGGGTGTTCAGTCTTCTGTTGAATGGGTCAATTGAAGGTAAGGATGCAAAATAATATGAATTCATTATATTTCGTGGTTTCTCGTCAGTTGCTTACAACCAAATATGTATTAGAATTTTAGCATTGAGAAAATAAATAGCGTGGAAAAATTGACATGAGTGAATGTGTAGGATTGAGATGACTAAAGGTTATCAATGATAACTATATATATGTGCAAGAACAGGTCCAAGGTTATTAGCTCTAGAATCAAGGAAACATAAAGGATGGATGGTGTAATGGTTGAGTGGAGTTCAGTGACAGATAAGATAAATTGTGTGATAATTATAAAGGTAATAAAGAATTCATGGAAATAAAAAAAGAGATAGGATTCGTTACGCAATATTTGAATAGAATTTGAAAAGTTCACATAATTTAAGAGAATCAAGTGGGGGGAAATATGTAAGTGGAAGGGTAGTTTTATCATTTGGTAATGGAAGAGGAATATAATACAAACTAATTATTAGACAAAATAAAACTAATAACCAGAAAACAAAAAAAAACACACAAAATTGGATTACAGGAGTAGTTTAAGGCTATTACTGTCTCCTTTTGAATATTTAGATCCGGTTTAAGTTTTTTTATTGCGATCGCTTCAGCAAACCGGAGAGCAGACATACTTCTTTGTCTGCTGATAATTTTGAAAGCATGAGAGATTTCAACGGTATGTTCGGTGTCAAGTAAATACCGAGCTATTGTGCTGTTGAGAGCCATGGTTCAATTTCTATGAGACATGTTCGGATATGCAAACATGTACTCTTCTCTCCGTTCTTCCAATGTATGTGCTTTGGCATGTACATGTAAATTAGTAAATGCATGCATCTGCGTCTCCTGCTACAATCTCCAAATCTTCACATCATCAGTGTATAGTAGTTCTGGGGACTGAACTCTCATTTTTGGAGTTCATTGGCATACAGTATAAAAAGCAAAGGGCCTGGAGCAGAACCTTGTGGTACTCCACTAAGTACTGGTCTCCAAGTGCAGCACTTAGAATTTACTCATAGTTTCTGTCTACGATCCACTACGGAATCCTTAGGCCATTCTGGGTGAGGTCTGTCAATGCCTAGATTTTCCAGCCTCAGGAGTAGTCTATTTGTTGACACAATGTCAAATGGTTTGCTGAAGCCTGTGTATAAAACATCCACTGATCATCCATTGTCTATAGGACTCTGACTAATGCTCCTTTGCTATTAGGAGATTTGTTGTGCAAGGTAAACCCTTTCTGAAACCGTGTTGTCCGCAGTTTAACAAATTGTTAGTTTTCACAAATGTCATCATTCTTTCCAGTATTTTAACTACGACACGGGTGAGGTTGACAGGTCTGTAGCCCGACGGGAGTTGTCTTGGTCCTGTTTTATGTATTGGAGTATCGATTGCATCCTTCCAGTCCGTAGGTAACACACCTTGGTCAATTGACATATTGAGTACCGCAGTTAATGGGAGTGCAATATATTGTGTAGTTTGCCTCAAGATTTTGGGGAGTAGTTCATCCGGTCTTGTTGATTCTTCTGTGTCTGAATTGCTAAGGGCCGTAAGTACATCGTCCCTATCAAAGTCCACTGTGAGCAGACAGTTTATTGGCTCTGCATTTGGGTTTAGTTCTTCGTCTAGAAGATGCTCCTGAGTGAAAACTGTGCTAAAATAGTTTACCATAACTTCTGCTTTTTTTTGATCATTCTCTATCATTTGAGATCTACTCCCCTCTGTGATTAGGTTAGGAATCCGATACTTTGTCCTTGTTCTGTAATTTCTGTACGAGACTAGTCTTTTAGGCTACTTGATTGCAGATTGTGACAACTTCATCTCATATTCTCTCTAAGATTCTCGAATTGCAATTATACACTTATTTCTTATCGACCTTTAGCGTTAGGTCGCACTCGGTATGCCAACACTGATGGCAACGTTCCAATATTTCTTCATTCGCCTTAGTAAATGTCTAATATCCCGACCGATCCAAGGATGATGTGCACTTTATTCTTTGGGACTGTTCAGGGTATAAATGTTAGAGTTTCTTGATTATATAACTATTTGAAATAAGTCCATGCCTTTTCTGCTGATGCCCCTCAGTCGATTGCTTAGTTTTCGGCCAATGCCGCAGAGCTGATCGCCTTCATGTCTGCCTTCCATATATTAGGGCGGGACGATGCAACTATTTGACAGACCATCTCAGCTATGAACTTGAGCTGTCTGATAGAATGAATTCTTTTCCCTAGAGATGTGAAGAAAGTTGTTTGACAGACATCATCACCTTGTGCGAAGATTGTAGTTTTGTAGTTCATAGCTGGTGGGATCTCAAATGTGCTGGAATAAATCTAGGGCCATTGTGGTTTCTAACAATTTGCAGTCAAGTAATGTTGTCGATGACCATACTTCTAAGTTTCCCCAGCTTATTTATGGTTCAGTAATCTCGCCTGCTATAAGGCTTTTACTTCTGTTACACGGAGATTAAGGTTTCATTGGAGGAAGTCATCTACTACGCATTTTGAACTGATATATACTACAACCAATTCAATATCTTGCCGTTTACATTTCAGCCTGCGGTGCACCAGTTCACACGTCTCTGAATCATGTGCCACTGTCTCAACAGCTCGTATGATTAAGTTGGTTTCCATGCATGGGATAAACTCACTTCTCCTATGGTTTCATCTATCAACCCTACTGGTCGAAAACAAACAACTGAATTTCACTAACACACATGCTTGACGTTGGCCATGTTTTTGAGCTGGCAATGAAATCGGGGTTTTCTGTGTCCATCATTGTCTTGAATTCCGCCATTTTATTTTGCAGGCTGCGAGCATTTGTGTAGCACAGCTTCAATTCTGTGAAGGGCTTGCTCTAATCACTCAGATTTTTTCGGAGAACGTTTTTCTCTGAACCTGTGCAATGTGAAGACCGTTAGGTATTAGATTTTTCTCATCGTCCCTGTAGAGCAGATTTATTTCTTCCTCTGTTGATCGTCTCTCAATACAAATAACGAAGCTGAGATCCCCATGGACACATGATGTGTACCCAGTTAGTTTGCGTAAGTTTTCTAGTATTAGGTTTCTTTCTTCAAGCGAAGCAACGGTAATTGCTAAGAGATGGCTTTTCTGAGTAATTTCAGAGTCCTACTCTGTAAAGCTTACAGATGCTTACTCCTGAAACTGTTTCTAGGGGTTGCTTGATTATTAAGGATTTAATGAGACTGAGATCGTGCTCGAAGCTAGTCCATGGTTTCATTTCGGAAGAACCTCTTAACCTATGAAAAATGACTGATCTGTCAGTGGTTTCTGTCCTAATACGCCTTGGAGTTTCGTCTCCTGAAACCTTCTCCACCTACATCAGACGCGAAGGTTTCACTCTGTTTGCGTATTTTTATTTTTCCGGGTGTAACTGTGAGCCAATCATATTTCTTATTATGTCGCTTGGTCACACCATCTACTTCTCTCGGGCTTTGTTCTTCCGTAGTCTGTTTTTTATTTGTATGTGAATCAGGGACTTAAATCCTAGGTGCACATGAGTTAGTGCTGCCTATAATTTTATTTCCTTGTATCAGATTGTCATTTACAAGTATGTAGTTACTTTATTACTATAAGTAGTAGTAAGGAGATGCGTGGCGCATAGATGTCTAATTTTTTATTTTCTTTCTAAAAAAGGTTAGTAAAAAATTATTTAATGATGCAACAAGTGATCATAGAGTAAAATCTACAGTAAAAGTTATCAACATACATGGAGTGTGGTCAGATGTGGTGCTTTTTTGAGTCCCTATTTAGCAGAAGGGGTCAGCGCTTTTCGCTGCGAATTTCGTAACTTAGTTATTTTAATCGAAAAAATTTTACACGACTTTTGAGCGTCCTTTCGTTTTCTGTCCAAACTGCATATCCCACATTGTGGACGTTATTGCGGCATCATGATTGATAATTTGAGTTAAAGCTAACCATGAGTGACGTGATACATTCTAATCATATATCCCACATACCTTGACTTTAGGTTCACGACATCTGTGGTAAAATCTGACGAAGGTTGTTTTAGACCCATGCCAACTACGTTTGTTTTCTAGGTTAATCCTGTTAGATATTCGAATATACCCGACAGCTAAATATTAAGGTCTGATACAAAGTGTCTATGAGATAGATTTCGTCAACGAAGTCACAGCACTAAACGATTTCGGGTCTATGTATGCACTCTCTGGGAGTGATAATACACTTACATGCATTGAGAGCTATCGATTAGATGTTTATTCTGAAAGAGTAAACATGAAAATAAAGCAGCCTTTGGTGACGCATGATATTATTCATAGTAAGTGGTTGGATCTCACTAAATAATATACTGCTGCATGATAAATTTTATGAATAGACACCTTAGTAACCTCCTACCACTTAATCCTGTCTTTTTTTGCAATGGGGTGTTTCTCCTAGCAATTTTTGTAAAGATTACACAGGTATTCGGAGTCTGACAGAGCCTTTACACGTAGCACCTTTATAATTGAAGTATACCAACCCAGTCAAATGAGAAGTTTAGTTTCGTGAAAGTAATGTTAGCTAAGTGCATAAGTGGAGCTAATATTCTTAACTTCATGGGAACAGTAAACCAGGCGAGTGATCTGAACTTATCATCTTGTGTAAACAATCCTTAAAAATCTACCTTACGTTTGCAAAATAGAACGATGTCTATACCTTCATTTAGGCTCAACCATATGGCTTCACTTCCTCACACGATTATACGATGATTAGAAGTGTTTGAATTATTGTATTAATTAGGAATTCCGAAATAGTGCTATATAAACCAAATAAACACATGTGAGAGCAAACGAACGTATGGTATTTAGAATTCGAAATCATCCAGGAGTCAAGTACAAAATAATCATCAGTTCATACAAACACCACAGATCACCTTTCCATGAGCCTACCAATATAAGATGGTGGTTGGAGGTAGTCGACAGGAAACCCTGAACCTAGGTTTCATGCTATTTGGCTCTCGTCAACAACGTGTAGCTGTTGACTTGCGGGAACTGATGCTCCCTGATGGATTCAATTTCGTGTCACCCAGCCTCACAGTCAGACACGTTATCACTGAGCTATACGGGCTTGAAGTGATGTCCTGCCCGGGATCTATCAGTCCCGCACCAGAGCACTTAACCGATAGACCACTGAACCAACATCCAACGGTGTTAATGTCTAAATTCAACCAATCCACGAAATTGTGCGACTAACTTTCATTGTACTGAGGTTGATACCTGTCTCTACCTGACATGGATTAGCTTTACTGGTCACGACTTATCACTAGAACCCTAGGAAATACTACATGGAGCCAGTCACTAGTGAAAATATGATTATTATCAAAAGGAGGTTTCGTGGAGATCTTAGTAAATTTATATAGTTGAGATCATGAATCAATTAAAGCTAGACCACCATGGAAAACCTGGAAGCACTGGACATCCGTTTCGTCCTATTTTGGGACTCCGATAGACCACTGAGCCGGCATCCAGTGGTCTATCGGTTATTATTTAGTGATAAGTAAAATATCAGAAATCGATTAATTACAATTATCATGAAATTTATCAATATTATTGTTTTATTAAAACACTAAAAACTTATCTGATCATAAAAAGGAAGAAAAAAGTACATCGAATAAATACATTAAATTAGAAAGAAATTATTAAAGGCCAATAATTAGCCAACAGATACATATACTCAAAGGAAATAGAAAATAAAAATAAAAGTACATTACAATTTATTTGAATAATATCAAATATCATTTTTTATTTCGGTTTCCTGTTTCCAGCATAGAAACAAAGAAAAATGTTTTCATCATATTGAAAATAAAATTTTTTCTTTGAAAAAGGAAAAAACAAGAATAGAAGAATTTTCAATGAGTAGATATGTAATGGTAAAAAAAAATTGTTGTTTTTTTCCAAAATATTAACACTTTTTAAAAAAGTAAAGAATAAAAAGAAACTTATAATGATCAATTAAATGTTAAATATTGAATATTGAACATAATTTTTTTTGTTTACAATATTATTAAATACAAAAAAATATTATTATTAATTTCTGATTTATACATAATACAAAGGGAAATGAGTGTTTGAATTTTAATTAAAAAGTCTCTGGGGTATTTTTCTTTTCATAAAATGTAGGCAACTTCGAAGCAATACATGTTTTTGTTGTTGAGATTAATGTATTTACTATGAATAAACAATGTTCTCCTTAGAACACATAAGTAAAATATATTAAACGCAAATATGGTATGTGTGTCATAGGATGTAAATGATTTTCATTCATGTAAGTATTTCTATCCGTTGTTTAGTAAAAAACAAACAAACATTTAGATACATTTAACCATACCGATTTCTGTACCACAGAATGGACATTCATGTTTAACATCTTTACAACAATTTGTAAAGAATGGTATGAGAAAACAACCTAGAATACCACTGTTATTTTCAATGATTATTGAAATAAGAGAAAGTAGAAAGAGGAATATTTAATGTTATTAGATTATATATTTGTTAACTAAAATGTATATATTGGCTTATGTCATAAGAACAAACATTATGTGAAATCTACTTGGATAAGTTTTAACGAAGTTTTCAATTATTTATCAAGAAAAATCAAAACATTTGGAAGAACTGTCATGGTGTGTAGGTAACTACTGTGTCTTATAAAATCTTAATTAGTTGGTATTTTCTAAAGGACCGGTTGCTAAGACATCTGGACCATCAAGCATAAATCTATTGTTATACAACTTCCTATTTTAGATATTTTTCAATTAATTAATTGTGTCTGTCAGACGGAAAAACTTTAAAAACTTAATAAAATCGTAATAAGCTATAGTAGATACAATTACTGAGGAAATTTAGAGGCATAAAAATGATAGTTTGTACATTTAACACCTATATGATGTAAAGAAATGACGAGAGATTACTATGAAATTCATTTATCAAATATTTAGTACAATGGAAAATAATGTTATGGGAACGTTGTCATTCTTAAACATTTGTGAATGAGTGAATTAACAAAATGAAGAAACAAAACAAACTAAAGTAATAAATATTTTTGTTGAAGTCTTATTGAGTTCTGTTTGTACATGCAGTTTGTTTAGATTCGCACCATAAAATATTGACTAGATGCACTCACTTCATTGTCCAACTATCATTTACCTTCAAATACTAATTTTGTTCATGCAGCATACTGGTATTACCTTTTATATTTTAATTGTATAGTTTGACGGAAATAAATATATATAGATGTAATATTACTCTTGATCATTTCTAAAATGTTTGTGAAAACAGGTTACTTTATGTTGTTTTTCTTTTCCCTTACAAATAACCAATTGTAGAAATGAGAATTTTCTTGTAATTCTCAACCAATATTATCATTAAGTCACTGATTTATTATCTACTTGGTTGACAATAACAGGTTATAACTAACAACTGAAACTGTGAAATCCACCTTACTAGCAATGAATAGTGTGGTTTTATAGATTTCTTTAAGTAAAATTGTTCTAAAACATACATCACTTAGTATTCACTCAGCCATGTTAATACTACTGAATTCACCAAAATATATGAAGATCATTGTATGATCTTCACAATGCACTGGTGAGTAGTCTCTAACTAGAACAAAACAAAAATCAAATGCTTTTTAGTTTTCAGTGGTTATTAAATTGTTGTTGATCCTCGATGAAAATCTCTACAATACATGTATATTAAATGCACTGTGATTGTACTTCATTAACTGATTGAAATGATTGTTAGATTTCGCCCAAATGCACCTTATATATAAGAACTATTGCTGTTATGGGTAATGTTAATCAATATATTTATTAAAAACTAATATTATTTTTTAATTCTTTCAATCATTATTTGTCTGATGAATTATTATATGACATTTTCTTAAATATATACACAACTTACCCGCATAAAAAAATTAACACTGCCATAAGCCATGTTAAAACACCAACATGATATGTTGTTCTAGTCACAGTAACATGTTGACAACAATCACATCGAAAAGATTTTGGTGAACGACCAAGTTTTTTAGTAGGATCTATTTCTGATTCAGGAACTAACAATAATTAAATAGTTAATAAGAAATGAAATTCTCTGAAAAATACATATATTTATTTTATAAAGATTTGATTATCAAGAGAGGGTTTTGTGGTGATTTTAGTACTTTTATAGTTGAAATCATGAGTCAATTGAAGCGAGGCCACCATGGAAATCCTGCAAACACTGCAAACATAGTAACCAGTGGAGTTCAACCGTGTCTGTTGTGAGATAGCAACTCATTGACGTCAATAGAGGACAGTTGCTCAATTTCGTGGATTGGTTGAAGTTAGACTATAACACCGTTGGATGCCGGCTCAATAGTCTAGAGGTTAAGCGTTTGCGCGTGAGACTGATAGGTCCTGGGTTGGAATCTCGCGAGGAGAGATCAAGAATTCGCACTGTTGAGGAGTCGCACAACAGGACGAAACGGCCGTCCAGTACTTCCAGGTTTTCCATGGTAGTCTAACTTCAATTGATTCATGATTTCAATTATGAAGCGATAACAGTATGATATTATTGACAAATGTTTATGTACACTAAGTGTGATTGTTAACTTTTTCTTCTTATTTCATGAATTTATGTTTTTGGCACAAGATGACTTTGTTTGTTTTTTCTGATATATAAGATATATTACTTAAAGTTGTCATTAAATTAATAATAATAGAAAAAAGAAAGAAAATGTTTTTTTTTTAATTTGACAGAAGAAAAAGAAAAGAAGAAAGAAATCAACTTTTCTATATGAATGAACACATTGTTGAAACTTAGTTGGACCAAACCATGATAAAGTAAGGTCTTTTATTTTTATTTTAGATGGTTTATTAATGTGATCTATTATGATGTATAGATATATGAAAAGTAGTTTTGAATGTTTTATGGATTCTTTCATTTGTGTTTATATATAGCTTCATTCTAATTATTATTGTATATATTAATACATGTTTTGAAATTCATATTTAATCAAGATAACTGACATTTTTACATAGAAGATTTATATGATATAATTTAATAAGTAACTTATTAAGAAGAGTATTTAAATATTGAATTGTTTACTTTATTGAATTAGTTATTTAACTTATCGTTATTAATTTTATATAGTTGAGATCATGAGTCAATTGAAGTTAGACTACCATGGAAAACCTGGAAGTACTGGACGGCCGTTTCGTCCTGTTGTGCGACTCCTCAACAGTGCGAATTCTTGATCTCTCCTCGCGAGATTCCAACCCAGGACCTATCAGTCTCACGCGCAAACGCTTAACCTCTAGACTATTGAGCCGGCATCCAACGGTGTTATAGTCTAACTTCAACCAATCCACGGAATTGAGCAACCATTCACCAATGTCTTCAGTGAGTTGATATCTCATAACAAACCTGGTTCAACTCTACTGGTTACTGCTTCTCACTAGGACTCCATGAAATACCTCTTGGAACCAGTCATTAGTGAGCATATGATCATTATCAGAAGGGAGTTTTGTGGAGATTTTAGTAATATTTTTATATAGTTGAGATCATGATTCGATTGAAGCTATTCCATCATGGAAAATCTGGAAGTATTATATTCTACCGATCATATTTTAAGCTTAATCATAAGGCTTAGTGATTAAAAATTGATAAATTCTAATAGATTTTGAAAACTAAGAAGCAGATTGTAAGATACTGTTATATCAATGCAGTGGGAATTATTTAAACACAAGAGATATTATTAAATCACGATTAATATTAGCATTTACTTCTGTTCAGTGACTGATTAACTTGATGATTTTTATTTGTAAAGAATATCAGATTCAATAAGCTCAGCTCATGAGTAGTAACCAAGGATGAGTTCTGGTTTATGGCGATTTTGATCTTTCAGAAAGTTTTATTTTTCTTAAGTTTAATCGTAATATTGACTGGCGACTACCGAAGAGTGCAAAAATAAAAATCGAGGGTTTCTGCCAACTTCCTTTAACGATCTAACATCAAGAATATCTGTCATTCTGTAATTATCCTCATCAAGAAAATTCCCCTTTTTAATACTTATATATTAGTGACATGTCATTAAGTGAGTTGCCTTCCGATATTTGTCAGTTAATAAGTTAATTTATTCAATAATTCCATCTTGAATACAGTTAATTCAAAACTTTATATCATACTAAATCACCAGAATGAAAAATTCTTCTAATGTTCACAATATTATGTTTGATCATAGAACATAGATTTTTATGTAAATTTCATACAACTTACCTTTGCTTATAGATGCTCTAGGTGTTACCTGAGGTGTGACGAAATTTTTTGTCAAAGGTGATGGTGTAGCTGTTAAAAACAAGTTACAAAGAATGTATATAGTAGACAGTATTTCTTCAAATTGTAATTTTTTGCAAAATTCAAATGGGAAGAATTTCTGTACTTAGAAATATCTAGATTGCATATTTTCAGAAGGGTATCTATTAATATACATACATATATATATATATCGATAATAAACGTGGAATATGATGATATAAACCAATAAATAATCTAGCATTTATCAAATAATGAGTAGTAGCAGGTTTTTAGTTTATTGACTATCAAATCTTGATGGGTATAATATCCTAAAGCGTTTACATAAGTGGACAGCTAAGTTAAAATTAGTTTGTGATAAGTAATACTTATATTTAGTCTTGCATATTAAAATTGATAGGATAAGGATCTCCATTTGATAAATAATTTGGGATAGTGGTTGACATTGAAATGCAAAACATGTGCTCTGAACCCTAGTTATAATAACCTTAAAACTATAAGTAATTATTTGAGGTATTCATACAAGCAACTCATACACTAACATAGAGTTTACAAATCTAGCTCTGAATATAAACAACAGTGGAGTATGAACTATTATAACAAATAAAATCAATTAGTTAGATTTACATGTCGTTAAATTTTGGATGTTTAATAAACCTACTTACGTTTTGCAATAGGAGGTTGTTCAGATTTAACTGCTTGGTTTTGTTGAATTTGAGCCTGAACACTCATTGGGACTATAAAAACAATACAAAAGTATAAGGGTATTAAGTTGTAAACTTTTTGTTTCAATAAAATGATCTTTTTTAAATATACAATCAAATTATAGAAACAAAAATCTTCATCAGTTAGAAATCATTTCTAATTTCTTCATCTGCATGAATTTCAGATCTTCATTTATTGTCATAAGGATTTGGCAAAGACGTTTTTTAAACTAATGCACAATAATACTTTTTTGAGCAATCTTGGCTTTATGTAATAAGTAGAAAGTGAGTAGTATAATGTTTGTTTGTTTTCGTCGAAAACTGCACTATTCAAAAGCTCTAAAGATAACTAAAGTAGACATTATCAAAAAATTAAATCATAACAAAATAATTTGGAAAGTTTATGTGAATACATGTTACAATGAACATGAAAAGCCCAGTGATTTTATTGAAAAACAAAATAGGAAAATGTAATCAGTTAAGTAGATAAAGCAGTGAATGAGTGATAAATATGAGCATATCTGTATAATGTGTATTTAAAAGTTCACTAAAATGGTATTGTTAAAACATCAAGTGTTAGCAGTAGTTAATGGATTAAATGTAAATGATAGTAAGCTAAAAGATGTCTATAGTTTATAGACCCATTCCCACTACCACTCAAAGTTAAAAACAAATAATTGGTAACATAATTTACATGAATAGTAAAAATTATTGCTTGAATAAGGAAACGGGCATTTTGATTTGCATTTTAATTTAAATAAAGTAGTTTATTTGGATGAACTAGTGATTTCTTTTTGTATACTTGATGAAGCTGATGAGTATAAGTGAGTAAAAAAAATAATCCTTGTTACTTGAAATCTTACAAAATTGAGCTTAGAATTAAACAATAGTAATGTAATTCAGTAATTAAATATAGATTCTTGTAACAAAAGATGGATAGTGGCTAGCAGTGGAATCCAGGACGCGCGTTTCGTCCTATTCGGGACTCTTCTGCTGGATGCACCTGCATTTCAGAGTTGATGATCACTCTAGGACTCGAACCCAGTACCTTTCGCCTCAAACGCCATCGCCTTATCCACTCCAGTCCCAGAGTGAACATCAACTCTGAGATGTAGGTACATCCAGCTTACGAGTCCCAAATAGGACGAAATGCGCGTCAAACGGGATTTCACTGCTATCCACTATCCATTTTTGCTTATAATGCTTGTGAATTTAGGCTATATCAAGGCAATACGCACAGTATGCACATATGCCTATTAGAGATTGACCAGTTGCAGTCCTAAAACATCAATGGGAAGATTCAAACAAACAATACTAAGTGAATAGATTCTTGTAATTTACTGCCGTGTAAATGGTACTAAATTGACACAAGTGTTTGAATCATTATAAATAGGATAAGGTGCAAAACGTTCGAGTTATTGATTAGGAGTGAAACACTTTAATAATTTAGTTATCGTTCTGCCGTAAGCGACATATATAAAAAAATAAAAAATAACTAGTTAAAGATGTAGAAACAGTGTTGGTTAATCAAATCTGCTTTAGATCACTCAACATAATCCGAAATACGCTCCATTAAGTAATTATAAAACAGTGTTTATCCATTCTGGGAATTGTGGTTTTAAGGATTAAAAATACCGACAAAATGTATAAAAAAAATTCAAAAATGACACCATTAAGCTATTTTCTGACTTATGATTTTAAATATCTGATGACAATCTGTAAACTAAAAAAGCAACTGACAACTGTTTTTGACTAGTACTATTTTATTCAGTGTGATCGTTAATTTGTAAAACTTTAGGAATTCTTGTTGGCAGTGGGTTACAGTACACATGATAAATTATCAGACTTGATATTTCAACAGCAGATAGCAACATGCTTAATTGTTGATATTAAAGATGAGATATACATTTTACTGATGGTTATTGTTAGCTTCAGTTTTCATAAACATTGCTTTTACATTTTTTTTTGTATTTTCAAATTAATTAAGTCAAAGTTAGAGTGATTTCCTTTACATCATCTTAAGAAAAGTAAGGCTTCAAAATAATTCGTTAACAAACAGAAAATTACAGCTGAATTCTGTGAATATATATGTGTAAAGCAAGGTGGCAGCAAAAACCAATACTAGTTTCTTCTCACAAGGTAACATAAAACCAAATGTAAAGCATACATGTCTGGCGTAAAACATGGGATCGTAAAAAAACTCCGTCAAAATGTATTTGTCCAGGTTTTACATTTAAGCTAATTTTGATGCAGTGCTGATTTTGTCCAACATCGATGGGCTGCACCAGAGTTGTAGGATGAGGTAGATCATGAATCCTAGTCAAAAAGCTTAAGGAATCCATCTCAAGGGAAGTTATTAATAGTCAAACAATTATTAATAAGCTTTTTGGTTTTGGCAGACCTCTCTGAAATCAATTTTTAATGAAAAGAGCCTTCAGTTCAAACAAAATTTCCGGAAAAACTATTCAGTTCAATCATGATTACACAAGTCTGACCCAAGGTATTTATAAATATTCCCTATCATGCACAGATGATTTTTAATTTATTTATACTATCGAAGTCATATTTTAACATTTTATAATAACTAAAAACATAATTCTAATAATCGCCAGTCAAGTCGAAAGTGAAACTGTATGTCTATTTGTATGTGATTGTGAGAGATTGAAAGAGAAAACCATTTATTAGACAAATCAAACTGTGTTAGTTCAGTAGATGTGTATTGTTCAAAGTTAAAGTGTTTCCTGACAATACTATTTTGTTAGTAATTCTAATATTTCACTAACTGACTTATATTAATAAATATATATACAAAAGTATTATTGTTTCTACAATAGTATGCCATTCAATCAGACTACTAGTAACATATCATGTACAACCGTCTGATGATATATTTTCTACATATATAGTCACTAAATTAGTTACTAGTGGAAATAATTAATAAATTTTGATTATCAAAGTTGAAACCATGAGTCGATTGAAGTTAGGCCACCATGGAAAACCTGGGAGCACTGGACGGCCGTTTCGTCCTATTATAGGACTCCTCAGCAGTGAGTATCCACGATCCTGTACTCGCGAGATTCCAACCCAGGACCCACCAGTCTCACGCCAGAGCACTTAATCGATTTCGATTATAGGACTTGGATTTTCGATCATTTTTTATATATTTTTTTCATTTGTATCATCTACTTTATAGCCTGAATCACTTATTGGACCGATATTATGAGAACACGTAAAGAAACAATGTAAATATATGACGTAATTAAATTTTTTTCTTCGATTTTTTACAATTTTAAAAGCTTAATTGAAAGTGAATTTATGTGTGGTGACAGGAAAATCTGTACTTGTGCACTTTTCTTCAATGGTTTCATTAATTAGACTTTAATCGTTTAAGATCACTATAAATTTATCAAATATATTTTATTGGTAATTCTAAATGAATAGGGATTTTAAAAAAAACCATTCAAACTTCTGCACCATAAAAGTAAATAGAATAATCCTAAGTGCCTCTCAACTATTCAGCAACATCCTACTGTAGGAGAGAACAAACCGGATTCAAGTAGAGAAAGAAATCAGGAAGTGAATAGGATACACATTGAGGAAATCACCCAATAGCGTCACAAGGCAAGCACTCACTCGGAATCCTCTAGGCCAAAGGAGAATAGGAAGACTGAATAACACATTACGCCGAGGAATGGAGACACATATGAGAAGAGTGAACAAAAACTGAATAGAACTATAAAGGAAGGCCCAGGACTGAGTGGGTTGGAGAATGCTGATCGGCGGCCTATGCTCTATTTAGAGTAACAGGCGTAAGTAAGTATGCCTGTCAACTATAATCCAATGAAAAACTTCTCGGCTAACGCCTGCACATTAGTTATAATTTGTGGTTAAAACGTTTGAATGAAATGGTCAAAGAGAGAGAATATCTCTATGTTAACTGTTGATAATAAAATTTCTTAGATTAATAAAAAATCATAACAGTATTTTAATGGATAAGTTCAACCTCAATAATCCTTGCATTAGATGATAGAATTATCATGCAGATTAAACTCAGGTTAATCATTAAATAGAATTTCACTTATCATCCCTTTCTAAAATGTAATAATTACATAATTGATGGATTTGCAGAAAAAACATGAAATTATAAATCAGTATCCATCTGCTTCCACCTAAATACGAATCTTACCTTGTGGTTTAGTCAAGACATGGATTTTACTTAGTAATTTGAACGATTTTCTAATAACACTCATTCAAATTACATCCTATGCTTACTTATTGTAACAACCCATATTTGATATACATATACATATATATATATTATGGTTTACCTGTTAAAGAACTTTTCAAGATGCTTCTGTCATTGTATGTTCGCCAAGTATTGGCATAGTCTACAAGTCAAACACTTTTTTGAAGGGATTCAAATGTCTTAATTACAATATTTTTTTTTGTTTTACAATATAGAAAAAAAATAAAGTGAAAAACTAAACTTAAAACGAAAAGAAAATTAATTTGAAAAAAAAGAAATTAAATTAAATTTAGTTGGCAACTAAATGAGGACATAAAAACATGTGATGAATGTGTAAAACACTTTTGAATATCAAAGTGAAAAGCAAATCTATCATGAAACTTTGTTTTCCATGTATTGATATATGATATATTGAACAATGAATACAAATATAAAACTTTGCAATGGATATATATATATATATATAATGTGAATATAAGCAATTATTATGTTAACAGAGATGAAATATAAATAGATATCTTTGTTACACTATCATCATTTCGTTAATTAGGAATCAGATATGTTGTTTTTCAGTTTAAGATAGGATTAGTAAAAAAAGAAATAACAAAATACCATTTGATATAGAATGATAAACATTAATCTTGTTTGGATAGTGGCTAGCAGTGGAATCCAGTTTGACGCGTGTTCCGTCCTATTTGGGACTAGGGAACTAAATGTACCTGCATCTCAAAGTTGATGTTCACTCTGGGACTCGAACCCAGTACCTTTCGCTTCAAACACCATTGCGTTATCCACTCGGCCATTGAGTCCTGACAGTCACTTGCTTGTGCGTTGGGGCGAAGTTTAAATTCATTTAGTATTGTTTGTTTGAATCTTCCCATTGATGTTTAGGAGTGCAACTAGTCTATATCGAGGCAATACGCACAGTACGCACATATGCCAATTAGAGACTGACCAGTTGCAGTCCCAACACATCGATGGGAAGATTCAAACAAACAATACTAAATGAAGTAAATCTTTTATAGAGTTGAGATCATGAGTCAATTGAAGCTAGACTACCATGGAAAACCTGGAAGCACTGGACGGCCGTTTCGTCCTATTATGGGACTCCTCAGCAGTGCGCGTCCACGAACCCACTCTCGCGGGATTCGAACCCAGGACCTACCAGTTTCGAGCCGAAGCCCTTAACCGATAGACCACTGAGCTGGCATCCAACGGTGTTAATTTCTAACTTCAACTGATTCACGAAATTGAGCAACCATTCACCAATGTCATCAGTGAGTTCCTATCTCACAACAGACCTGGTTGAACTCCACCGGTTACTGCTTCTCACTAGAACTCCAGGAAATACCTCAAGGAGTCAGTCACTAGTGAGCACCTGATTATTATCAGAAGGGGTTTTGTGGAGATTTTAGTATTTTTATAGAGTTGAGATCATGAGTCAATTGAAGCTAGACTACCATGGAAAACCTGGAAGCACTGGACGGCCGTTTCGTCCTATTATGGGACTCCTCACTGATGACATTGGTGAATGGTTGCTCAATTTCGTGAATCAGTTGAAGTTAGAAATTAACACCGTTGGATGCCAGCTCAGTGGTCTATCGGTTAAGGGCTTCGGCTCGAAACTGGTAGGTCCTGGGTTCGAATCCCGCGAGAGTGGGTTCGTGGACGCGCACTGCTGAGGAGTCCCATAATAGGACGAAACGGCCGTCCAGTGCTTCCAGGTTTTCCATGGTAGTCTAGCTTCAATTGACTCATGATCTCAACTCTATAAAAATACTAAAATCTCCACAAAACCCCTTCTGATAATAATCAGGTGCTCACTAGTGACTGACTCCTTGAGGTATTTCCTGGAGTTCTAGTGAGAAGCAGTAACCGGTGGAGTTCAACCAGGTCTGTTGTGAGATAGGAACTCACTGATGACATTGGTGAATGGTTGCTCAATTTCGTGAATCAGTTGAAGTTAGAAATTAACACCGTTGGATGCCAGCTCAGTGGTCTATCGGTTAAGGGCTTCGGCTCGAAACTGGTAGGTCCTGGGTTCGAATCCCGCGAGAGTGGGTTCGTGGACGCGCACTGCTGAGGAGTCCCATAATAGGACGAAACGGCCATCCAGTGCTTCCAGGTTTTCCATGGTAGTCTAGCTTCAATTGACTCATGATCTCAACTCTATAAAAATACTAAAATCTCCACAAAACCCCTTCTGAAGTAAATCTTGTTTGTTTGATAATTATTTTTGTTTTAAAACATTTAGGGCAAATCAAGTGAATTTTTAAAAAAATATTTATGTGCTTGTAATTGTTCAACTTGATTATCTCTAAATATAGTTGGAATCATGAGTCAATTGAAGCTAGACCACCATGGAAAACCTAAAAGCATTGGACGGCCGTTTCGTCTTATTGTGAGACTCCCCAGCAGTGTGTATGTTTTAATAAGTCAATCATATTACTATTCAATTAGGTATGGCAACTTGGACCGATGCACATATGTGCCTGGTCGTACATAGTAACTGAATGACTATTCAATTAGTTGCATTTAAAGTGATTCTGCAAGCAGCCAAACAATAGAATGAAACTAATGCTTACTGTCTGTTTACATTGATTGTTTCATTTCTTTTAAATTTGTAAATCAATATATCTCTTTCTAAATCAACAGGTCAAATTATATTAATGGGATTATAACTCTATAGATGCATTCATTCTTTATATTTCCCTATAGATCTTTCGTTTTAGAATTGTCCTTAACGTTTGATTACGTGACTTTATTCTTCTAAAATCATATTGTCTATGCTTAATCTTTTTTATTTGCTACCATAGATACAGTTATTGTTTTTATTATTCTGACATTTATTTTCATAACTTCATCGCTCTGTACTGATATCGTTTAACAAATTGAAGTAATGTATATATGTGTCAGGTTTATATTGTTTATGATTATGAATGAATAAATGAATCGTTAAAAATGAAATAACTTGTAAAATTCTGATTTATAAAGTGTTTGGTGTAATTATACAATAGAGATTAGGATCAGTCAACAAATGTGTAAACTTACTACATGCGATTGATGCTCTTGGAATTGTTGATGATACAGGTATTGCTGAGATACATAAGAAAAATAATAAATTTATTAAAATTATATCATTTTGAAATGCCTTTTTCACAACAAGCGTAAATTATGAAATAAACCCAGAAAAATATGATTTTTTTTTTCAAGCTGCTTATTTTTTGAGTCATTACTGAACATTTTTAAAGATTACTTGGTGCTTTGTTTTTTGAAGAAAAATCATGTGTGTGTTTTTGAAAATTTTCGTGGTTACTTCCAAATCATGGCGAGCAAAATACGACTCACACGTTCTCCTTGTGCCTTCTGGATAATGGGACTGTTTCCATGAACTAACGTGAGCGGTTAATCGTGGGTGGTCGAAATCAGCCTGATCAACCACTCTATCAATATCGGGAAACGATTACGAATGCTACAAGGAGTCATTGCATAACTATTGAAGGTTCAAAATAGTGGTAAACTAAAAAAGAGTCTGCCCAAATAAAAGTAAAAACAAAAAGACAAAAAAAAGGTTCTGTGAAAGTGTTATGTAATGGTTCTGAGTAAGCAGCTATCCCACCCCGTGCTTCGATGCAGCGCTCTTCTCCAGAAGGGCCTACTAGGCTTCACCATTCTATATGGCTGGAAGGGGCGAGGCGGGGACTTCCAAATCATACTTAAATGAACACATCTAAATGTTCTCATTTACGAATTGCACAGACCTATTATTATTTAAATCATTTGTATCTAGTCTGTTTAACAATGGATAGACTAAAAATTTACATTATTAGGCTACGGAAATATTGATAGTTTGGAAAGAGTTATAATCTATGATGTGCTTAAAATAACTATGGGCCAAAACATAGGTCACATAGTATTTGCGTTTACCTCCCAATGATGATTTTGTTAAAAATAATGAAATTGAATAATCAGTTAACATTTTAACATATAGTACCTTAAATTTTGTTGTTGATAATTACTAACAGTTGATGTTAAATACTGGGAAAGAATTATGAGAAGGCTATAAATTCCTTATTTATGAAATGAACATTTATTTATAATAATCGGTTTTCATTTTGAATAGAGCAATTGAAAGTTAGGATTTTCGTTAAACCATTTGGTGTATTGAAGCATGTAAAACATCAAATGATAATTGGTGTTTTTTTTACACTGATCCTCAATGTTGAACAAGTTTTATCTGACAACCTATGTATTGTTGTCAGTAAGTTGTAGAATTGAACACCTCTGGAATATATCACTACTGTTGATTGATGAAGGTTATTAAGAAGATTATCTAAACATTGACAATCTACAAGCGTTTTCTTAGCTAGTATTTACTAAATAGTTGGTATGATTTCAAAGAAAATAGATCACCTTCACCAGCGTCTAGAGACTATTTTATTTTAATTATACACACAAAAAGGGGGAGATTACAAATGGTTCTTATGAACATTTCTTTCGGTTCAAATGCTAAGTAATGTGAGCATATAAACAACAATAAATACAAACACACAGGATAAATTATTTTCATATTAATTATTCTCACTATTAAACTACTTTGATGCTTTTCCCTAAACTATTGATAGACATCTAGTCGATTTCTACTGATCATCACCAAATATTAAATAGTATAATACTGATTACTATTTGGTGGCCAATCAAGTTCGAATAAGAAATCAGCCAAGGCATAATTAGTGTACTGATTTTATTTACGGCTATAATACTGAATAACACGGATTCATAAACACATTCTGCTAATACGTGTATCCATCATCAAACCTAAGTTTAGAGCTTACTATTAAATGTCTCCATTTATCTATGACAAAGGTTTGACTATATATGAGGCTTTACATGAATTGACCGTTATCAAAACTTATAGTTAGAGTGTCACTGCAAATCTATAATTACATCAGTATTCAAAGTTAACTACTCAGTTCCTTGCTGAATCTATTCAAACGTTTTGTTGTATAAATAACTAATATTTACAAACATTGGATTATATATAATACTAATATATATAATAATAATTCATGTAAAGCCCTTTAATATGACAAACACGTTAACGACATAGTAACAATTCGTTTATTTCTTTGTTTTAATAGAACCGCTATCATACTTACATAAACGCTTAATCCAGCATACTCATATTTCTGCCTGACTCAAATCTTGATCGCTTAAATATAAGACGAAGTGTTATTCTCCGTCCCTCATATATATGTACTTACTTACTTATAGTGGTTCCCCAAGTTTCAGCTCGGTACAGTAGAACTTTCCTAACTTTCTACTAAAGATTCTGACTTTGATATTGGCAGATAGGTGTCATGAATTTTATATGTTCTTCAACCTTAAAATGCTGTCCTTGTTTTGCCAATCCTTGCCCTTACGTCTGCATCAGATTCTCTTTGTTCATCGATGATGCTGTCCAGGCACGTGAAAATTTTCCACCTCTTCTATAGTTTCTCCATTACGTGTGATTGGGTTGGTATTCCCTGTGTTGCATTTGAGAATCTCGTTTTTTCCCTAGTATGTAATGATGCCTACTGATGTAGAGGCTGCCACTGCTGCCACACTGGTTATCTTGGCCTGAGTTTGTTCGTGTGTATAGGGAAGAAGTGCTAGGTGGTCTTCGAAGTCCAAATCGTCTATTAGCATGCAATTTGTCCATTGTATTCCGCGCTTCCCCTCAGATGTCAGTCATCATAATCCAGTCAACCACTATAAGAAAGAGGAAAAGGGAGAATATGCAGCCTTGTCTGACTCCTGTCCTCACTTGCAATGTGTCTGTCAGCTGTCCTCCATACATGGCTTTACACTTTAGTCCGTTGTATCGATTCCAGATGATGTTGACGGTTGAAAGAGTTTCCATAATGTTCTTCAATCCACACTCTCAAACTCCTTCTCATAGTCAATGAAGTTGATGTATAGTGACGAATTCTATTCACTTGGTTGTTCAATGATAATCCGTAGTGTCAGGATTTGGTTTGTACACGACCGATCTTTGAGGAATTCGATCTCTTGATCTCGAAGCTAGGTATCTACTTAATTTTTCATCCGGTTAGTAACACTCTGTTGAAAACGTTTCCTTGTACCGATAGTAGTATCATGTCTCTGTAGTTCTCATATTTGTTTAGATCTCCTTTCTTTCGTATCTTGGTGAGGTATCGTTCTTTCCAGTCTGTCAGTGGCACTTAATCTTCCTTCCCAACCTTCCAGAATAGAGTGTTAGGCATGTTTGCAGTCACTTCAATGTGTGACCTCAGTGTTTCAGCTGGTATATTGTCAGGTCCTATTGTTTTACCTCTTTTGATTTGTCTGTTAGGGTTTCCTGATTTCTCCGATCGTTGGAGGAGTGACATTGGTAGGAAGGTCTGTGTGCTGCTTCGATGTGTAATGGATTCAATGGAGTTGGCCTATTCAGGAGGTATTCAAAGTGCTCTACCTATCTGTTCCAATGTTCTTGAATTTCAGTGACTGTATTGCCTTCTTTGTACTTGATTAATCTCTCTGGTTTACTATATTTCTCTGTCAGTTTCTTCGTTGTGTCATATAGTTTGTCGGCTCCAATGCTCTTCTTCACTTGCTTATTTACTTCTGTATATTCAGCTTGTGCCCTGATGTTCCTTGTTCTCATTCAAATGTTGTCAGTTGCCGTTTTCTTATTCTTCTTTTCTTGGATCTTGCTCAGAGTATCGATAAAGATCCGTTGGTTATGATGATGCTTGTTGAGCCCCAGAGCCTGCTGACATGTTGAAGTTACTGTCTGTTTGATTACTTTCAAGTTGTCCTCAAAAGTAGTTTCTTCTTCTTTCAATAGATCCTATAAGGCTTGGAACCTGATGTTTAGAGTTATCTTGAATTCGTTGAGTTTGCTAGTATCTCGAAGGGAAGATGTATTGGACCTTTATAGTGCTGTTTCCCCAATTGCGCGGTGTTTCTCTAGCTTCAGTTTAATCTTGGCAACCACCAGTTAGTGGTGATCTGAAGCTATGTTAGTTCCTCTCCCGGTTTTCACATCTTCTATTGTCCTTCTGAAAATTTTATTGATACAAAAGTGATCTATTTGGTTCTCTGTGGTGTGGTCCGGTGAAATTCATGTAGCTATGTGTGGAATTATTGTGCCGCCTATAACCAATTTGCTGAATACACATAGGTTTGCAAATCTCTCCCCATTTTCTTTTCTCTCTCCCAGTTCATATCGTCCCATGATATCTTCATAGCCGTTGTTATCCATTTCAACTTTGGCGGTTAGATCTCCCATCAGGATTGTCCGGTCTTTTCCTGTGCACTTCGTTATGACAGCATCTCATAGAACTGATCTTTATCGTCACCATTGCTATCATTGGTGGGTGCATAACAATGGATTACATTCATTGCGATCCCCTCCTTCTTCGTTTTGAATGATGATATGATAATCCTACATTCATGAGATTCCTATGCTATAAGTGAATTTTGTGATTCTTTAGATAATAACAGAACAACTTCTCGAGTGTGTGGAACATTTCCATCTTCGTGACCACAGTACAGCAGCATCTCTGGCGTACATGACCTTTGTTGTCCAGGTTGGTTCCAATGGATTTCTCTGATTACGAGTACTGCCATGTTGTATTTCCTGATTTCCGTTGCCATTTGACTGGCCATCCCGGTCTCCCACATTGTCCGGACGTTCCATGTGCCTATAAAGAGTGTTGTTCTGGTTGTTAGAAGAGGCATCGACCTCGTGACTTCTAGAGAATCTGGTCTTTTATCATGAGGCGTCAAAATTCTTCTTTCAACCCGGTGAACAGCATTCAAATGGTTTAATTTGTTTATTCTGGTTAGTGCTTTTTTAGCAAATTTGTTTTCTACGGGATGGGGTTGTCAATGACATACCCAACCCTCCTTCCTTGTGTGGGCCGTAAAAGAGCTACAAGTGGAATTCTCATATATATGTGCCTGCATTATAAAAACAAACTGTACTTTGATTCGCTGTGACATTGTTTGATATGACTATAAATTTGCCTCTATGTTCGCTTGTGACGATTTGTTGGCCTTCTTGCTTCAAATCTGCTTGATGTGTTTGCAATTCTGTGGTTTGCACGAACATCTGATAAATTTTAGTCGCAGCTTCTTATTGCCTTCTGAATACAATTCCATGGGACCTTTGTGATAACGGTTATCAGGGTGAACGTTTAACGAAGCTACGCGCACCACAGATTTCATAATGTATAGGTTAATTTCAGATAAAGTAATTAGGTCAGTTACAATGTGTACCAGTGAAATTTCAGAAGGTATATAATTGAATTTCAAATAGTAATCGGATTATGCTTTCCTTTAAAATCTTTCAAATAAATGAGCTGTGTGGTTTAGTCTCATCCAAGCAACCAAAATCTCTACTGGTTTTTTCATGGGTCGCTAGTTACTTTAGGAGAATGAGTTGCTAAAATTATTCCTTATTGTCTTACAACTAAACATCACTAAACTTATGATCTGCGATTATGAATATATGCATAATAAACTAGAGAATATGAGTGTTTGATAGACAAATGATGGAAACAAAAGAAATAGAAGTTACATTACTTACTTCCAGCTGATGCACCTGGAGTATTTAAATATGGTGTTGCACGTGGAATGTTTCTTGGAGGAAGGGCTAATTTAGATAGTTAAATAAGAAAACCAACAATATTTTGAAGTGACAAATTATTTTAATCAATAGCTAAATTCTTTAACCCTTCTATAAAGTCCTTATCTTAATACAATAAAATTCAACTAAACGACTGATAATATAGCCAGATAATTGTGATATTCATGGCCGTCTAGTTGAAATTAAACATAACAGGGAGTTAACTCATATCGTTTACCGATTCATACAGTTCTTTCGACTTTTAATTATCATATATATATGTTACGTAATTAAAATTATTAGAATGTTATTTGACAAGCAAACTATAATAGGATTTCAATTTATGTAAAATCCGTTCTTTTTGGGAATAATGCATAATCTGCTAGAAATGTCAATTTCTGATATTATGTGAGCAAAGAAAATCCAAATGGTCAAGTCCTTTATTGAACATTTTTCGACGAATGACTGCAGCTTATCGTAGAATTGATCTTTAACGTCTTCAATGTAGTCGTTGGTAGGTGCATAACATTGGATGACGTTCATTGTAATGCCCTCTCTCTTTGTTTTGAAGGAGACTTTGATGATCCTTGGTCCATGAGATTCCAGTCCTATAAGTGCATTTTGTGCTTGTTTGAATAACGTCAGTGCAACGCCTTGTGTATGCGGAGCATTTTCTTCTTCATGGCAGGAGTATAACAGCAGCTTCCCTGAAGCTAGCCTTTGTTGTCCAACCTGCGTCCAATGTGTTACACTGATTACAAGCATCTCCAGGTTGTATCTTTTCATTTCTGTATCAATTTGGTTGACTCTCCTGGTCTCTCACATTGTAAGAACATTCCATGTACCTAAATTAATGGTTTCTCTGGTTTTCAGAAGGGTCATCAGCCTCGTGACTTCCTTAGGAACTCGACTTTCACCATGAGGCGTCATAACTCCTCTAAATAAAGACCTCCTAACTCCCAGGGTAGAGTTTAAATGGTTTGAATAACTTTTTCTGGTTAGCGTTTTTTAGTGAGTTAGTTTTCTACGGGATGGGGTCGCTAACCCCATGTCCAACCCTTCTCCTTCATCCGGGCTTGGAACCGGTAGTAACCCTAGAGGTGCTCTAGGCGCAGTCTACGGTCCTCTTACCATTTATTTTTTTATGATTCTTTTATTTGTTGACCAGAGTAACGAAGATTTTAAAATATACTGTTTAGTGAGTAATTGAACCTTTTAGATAGAGAATGAATAGAAAAACATAGATCAACAAATGAAATAAACTAACCTCCAGATGCGGATGCATTCTGTACTGAATATCTCCTTTTTTCTGATGACAATGCTGTAATGTAAAATACCTGATAAGTGAATATTGAAAGTTCTTTTAAAACGTAAACAAATATGATATAGAGCTGTTTATTTGTCGGTTTATTTAGGAATGTTGCCTTGTCATTCGCAGACATCATTTGATAATAAATACATTTTAAATCATTCTATAATTGCGAGGCAAAGATAAATTGAGATAAAATAATAAGGTATTCTATCCAATTGTTACCCTCACATTTAATTTGCTGTATAATACATTTCCTTTTTTAAACAACGTTTTATACCTAAGCAACTGGTGGTATTAAGCATTTGATTAACTAGAAATAATCGGTGTAGCTAATATAACCATTTATACTCTTGGAGTAAAGTATTGCTTATTTTTGCTAAGCATATCTGACAATACGTGTTTTATTAACACTTAACGTAAAATATTGTTTACATACATTTAAAATAAGGTTTACAAGTTATATTAAAAGTCTTAATAAAACAAAATACCTAAGGATTACTTTTAAACAAATGCAAGTAAAATAATAATTGGGTTGTTTGTGGAGATTTTTAGTAATTTTCTATATATAGTTGAAATCATAAGTCAATTGAAGCTAGACAACTATGGAAAACCTGGAAGCACTGGAAGGCCATTTCATCCTATTGTGGGAATCCTCAGCAGTGCGCATCCACGATCACACAATAGGACGAAACGGCCGTCCAGTGCTTCCAGGTTTTTCATGGTGGTCTAACTTCAATTGACTCATGATTTCAACTATATATAAAATGATAATTCTTTATTTAAAAAAAAGACTATTTGTAAGTATCATTACCAAGGTTTGATTTGATGTACTCAAATAACCAGAACATGAATTAGGTTATTTATAATAATAATAATAATAATAAAATAATTTGATAATTATTTTTTGTTATATTCCAATGAGTAGAAGATTGAATTTCTGATGTTTCGCTGTTCAACTTAAATTGTTCTTTTAGCTAATAAATAAATGGTATAGACGAACAAATCAAAATACAAATCTGATCATTTTTATGTCAAATTATTCAGGTTATAAAGGGGAGACGTGTATATTTATTTATGTATATCACATATTACAAGTATATATAGAAATGAATTCTACTCCTTCATATTACATTTCTCACACCCACTTAGATCTACATGAATATATACCAATATGATCTGATTGATGTGACAGCAGAATGATCAGACTTGTTTATTATGCTAAATGTTTTGATTTGCTAGTCTGTATAGTTGACAGTTGTGTTGATTTGTTTTAATTATTTATTCTTTGAAGAGATAATTTACAGTAAGTAGCAAAATATTATAAGTTCAATTTTCCATTGAATACGTTTTTCTGGTTAGCGTTTTTTAACGAGTTGGTTTTCTACGGGATGGAGTTGCTAACCCCATGCCCAACCCTCCTCCTTTAGTCAGGCTTGGGACCGGCAGTAGCCCTCAGAAGGGCTAGAGGAAAAAATATATAATGATGTTAATGATAGAAGTTAAAATTTTCACAAGTCCACTTTGAACAAACATTGTTTCAATATAATGAAAATTCCCATTTCGACATTTGATAAATAAAAAAGGAACGAATCGAGCGAAGAAATTTCTTTTCAATTAGTTTTTATCATGGCTCTACACTAATCAAAGTAATTATTCGAAAATCAAGCTGTTGCTGCGTTGCATGATATATAAAAGAGAAGAAAGAACTAACAAAATATTTTGATGAATGGTCAGTAATATAGTAGTTATGTAAGAATCAAGAGACGAATGAAGAGAATAAGTAAAATACAAAAATAGAAGGAATAAGATAAGTGTTTACCGAAATTCTGCTACAAACTCCGCTATACCGATGGCCAAGGTAGCGAGAGTGGTTGTACAAACTTGAGCTACAAATCTTCTCCACCATCTCAGAAGTTGAATTTGTAAATACACTCAGATGTGGCGAATTCAGGCAATCTGTCCTTATTAACTGTTATATTGTGGGACGGTGGTAGTAGATGGTACTCAGTTGGGCTGCATTAAATGTTTTCTTTACTGCCTTTCTTAACTTCTGTGTCATGATTCCTTCCGTGGCATCATTTGAGAATTGTAATTTTAAGAACAATACTTTATTCCTAACGGTAGGTACCCTTGTCCTTCTTTTCGTCTCCGTCATGTGTTTGTCGATGATTTTCATTGGGTATCCATTTCTACTAGGCAATTTGCAAATATTAACCAATTCATTTAAAATAATTTCATCCAAGCAAATCATTCAAGCACGATGAGTCAGGATCTTTATCAAGTTTCTTTTGTATTTGATTGGTGCTGCATTATAGAAATGAATGTATTGTCCAACTGTAGACTTTTTATGTAGCTTTGTGGAAAGGATTAGCGAACTCAGGTTACTGCGATAATTGTAGGGCTTATATGCAGATATCTCTGATTTGCACAAACTTGATCAGTTATTAAATGCAGAACAATAATTTCACAAGAATATACTGAATTTATGTTATTTGATGATTATTTAAGCTCATAAACTTTTATTCATTGAGATATTTGGTGGTGACATGCAAACATGGCAGTACTGTAACTGTCGTTGTTTCTTCGGTTCCATTCATATGGAAATCAATGAAATTACTGAAAAATTGTTGTCATTTTCCGAAGTTAAAGACCTGAGCTTGAAAACCTTTGAAAATTGGGAGACATTTAATAATTCCTCAAGGGTGTACGACAACGAACGTCCGTCCAGTACTTCTATGTTTTCAGTGACAGTATAGCTAAGATTAGTTCGTGAACTAAACTGTGAAAATTCTGCATTCTTCAGAATTCTTGTATATTATTAGATTTTGTTACAGGAAAATATGACAATCAAGAAGATTGGTGACATGTTTTCAGCAAGCTCCATACAACATATATGTAATGTTAGTTAGTTATCTGATTATCGTATCGTGGGACGCGAGGTGACCTTTTATTGGCATTACGTATCCTGAATTACGATTTGGGTGTTAATATGTATCATCCTTTCGCTTCTTACAGTACTAATAATCTCCGAGGTCAAAGCAAGAAGGTTCACAAACCGCAATCTAATAAACTTAAAGTGAGATTCTGTTTTTCTCACCGAATAGTCAAAGACTGGAACGCCTTACCCGAACAAGTGGTATTAGCTCCATCAGTGGACATTTTCAAGGAGAAGCTGGATGTCCACTGGAAGGCAAAATGTCAGGATTAACACAGGTCCACCAACCTACTATCCTTATTACTGAAAACTAACTGCTCTCCCTTCTGTCAACAGCAAAACAGCGACTTCGATTTACACGATGTAAGAAAACGATTATATGCAAAATTTCATCTTTTCTCAAAAATGAATGAAGAATGACTATGCTTTTATATATTGCTAGTTTCCATATGAGTAATTCGTTTAAATTACTCAGATCAAAATAAATATCATAAAAGTATTGCTAACAAGGCTTGAATTCGTGTAGTTACGTAGTAGGTCAGTTAAGCAACTTTTTTACCCGATGTAAATAAACGTAATTCATTACATCAGAATACGTAAATAAACAGTATTTATACGAATATTCGTCAAGATTAGAACGAATAGTTTGACAATAATTGGGCGCCGAGTATAGAGAATTCATTTTATGTGAAAAAATTATATTTGAAATAGTCTCAGCGATTGAAATTTAAATAATTCCAACGTTTCGTCCAGCTAACTTGTCTGGACTTCTTCAGGGAAATAATCAAAATCAAAATCATCAAAGAAATATATAGTGTTTTTACAATCATATCAAAATCTCTACTACTTTTTTAATCCAATCATATTTGGATGTCGAATTTTTTGTAAACAGGATAATATAAGTCAAGTGAAAAGTTCAAAGATGTGAATTAAAGGAGACTGCATAAATTGTGTGTATGTATGTATGTGTAAGATAAGTTATTAATGATGAATGATATTCAGTGTTGATATGTTTCTATGTGAAGTAAAATAGGAATAAACGTGCATAATGAAGGTTGAAAAGTTTTTCTCCTTTCTGAATCATCGAAGTTGCAAATAAAATGAGAATCATCAAGTACATAAATTGTAATGTTAAACATAACTCATATTGATTTCAGTCATAATAACGATTCATGTGAAGTAAACAGGTTGAATAAAAGAAAAAGGTCAAATTACTTGTTGATGAATATTTGCCAAGTGGTAGCTAGCTGAATACCATCCTTTCTGTTTAGGCTGTTCTTATTCGCCCATATATACAGCGCTTCTGCTGTCAATCTTTCTTTGTGAGTGTTGAAACCTTTCTGAAGTATTTTGGCCCCTTCAAAATTAATCATGTGTCCCGTTTCCAACGCATGTAACGCTATTGCAGACTTATTCTCAAGTTTCTTTAAGTCAACCGAGGTTTTGGGAACGTTTTTTAAACACTGTTTGTGTTCCTTCAACCTTACCTTCAATTGTCTGGATGTTTCTCCAATATAAGCCGCATTACAATCATGACAATTGATCTCATAGACAATATTTTGTTGTTCTTCCTTTGGTAACCTATCCTTAACCTTCACCAATGACGATCTTATAGTGTCACATGTTCTAAAATACACTCTTATATCATGTTTGTTTAAAATCCGTTTGATTTCCTCCGATGTTTCGCTACGGTATGGTATGACTACAGTGGACTTCCAATCTTTCTGTACATGTTGCAGTTTAGCTTTTCTTTCCTTTCTAACAATCTTCTTTAAAAACTCTTTTGGGTAGTTGTTATCCCTAAGTGTAGGTAAAATCCTATTCAATTCAAATTGTTGGTCTTCTTCATCTGTAACAAGCTTCAGACTTCTGTTAATTAAATTTTTAACAACTGTGACTTTCGTACATAAAGCATGCGCCGAATCAAAATCTAAGTATCTATCTGAATGTGTTGATTTTTTGAAAACATTTATTTTCAACTTCCTATTATTAAGTCTTCGTTCAACCATACAGTCGAGAAATGCCAGTTTGTGGTCATCAGACTCTATTTCCTTCGTTAGATTAATTTGTTCCGAAATGTTGTTCACATTTGTAAACAATTCTTCCAAATAGTCCTGTTTAATGATAACAAAAATGTCATCTACATAACGTAGCCAGACCTTTGGTGGACAAACACTTCTTGCGATTGCACTAGTTTCGAGTGAATGCATGAATAAATTCGCAACAATCGGAACGTATTCACATAGCCACTATGAATTTGGAGTCACTACGTTCAAGGGTAAAGAATATCGATGAAATTCTGTCATTTATCGCACCGAAAGAAATAAGATCTAATATAAATGAATTTTTCAAACTCAGAGAACAGTTTTATCATCAATCATCAAAACTACGACAGATTAGAAAGTTCGAAAAAATGTTGAAACATGCGTCAAACAGCAAAGTGAAACAAACTAGAGATAAATCGAACACAGTAGATATTAACAAAGTGTTAGTTAATTTATCTGATAGAATTCTCAACTCCCATGAAATTTCATTACTTAAAAAGGGTCTCAATTTCAATATAAATAGACCACATTTATCGTCTTTCAATATTATACCAGCAATCGAACCAACATTGAACATACTTCCTAATGAAACAGCGAATGAATTGAGGAATAAGATAATGTCCGTGTTATTACGTCAAAAATCACAAAAATCTAATATGACTAAAAATGAGTTGCATGCATTAAAGCAACTAAGAAATGATAAGACAATTATCATTACAAAAGCAGATAAAGGTAACACTGCAGTCATCATGAACAAATTGGACTACGAGAAAAAAGCAAAGGAACATCTACAAGAGGGACCATATGAACTAATCAAAGTTGAAAAAAGCAGAACTACGCTCAATAAACTTAAGGCGGAAACAAGTAAAATCTTACATTCGTTAAAGGTCAAGCTCGGAACGCCTTTATGGTTTATGCTAAATACAAAAAGTTGTAACCCTTGTCGATTCTATGGACTCCCGAAGATTCACAAGGATAGTACTCCACTAAGACCAGTGGTCGATTTTACAAATTCACCGACTTACAACCTAGCGAAATACTTAGCTAGAATACTAAAACCGTATGAGAAATTGATTAATCATGGAATTAAAAACTCTATGGAATTTAAAAATATTATTGATACCATCGACATAGAAGAAGAAGTAATAGCAAGTTTTGATGTTTCTTCCTAATTTACTAACGTACCTATCAACACAGCGTTGGATATTATTTATGCTTGTTTAGAATCTGATTTGGATTTACATTTACGTTGCCCGTTAGATCCATCTGAGTTTATCAAGTGTTTGGAACTATGTTTAAGGTCCACCTTATTCACATTTCGAGGAGATCTATACAGACAAAAAGAAGGTATAGCTATGGGTTCACCAGTTTCTCCGATTGTTGCGAATTTATTCATGCATTCACTCGAAACTAGTGCAATCGCAAGAAGTGTTTGTCCACCAAAGGTCTGGCTACGTTATGTAGATGACATTTTTGTTATCATTAAACAGGACTATTTGGAAGAATTGTTTACAAATGTGAACAACATTTCGGAACAAATTAATCTAACGAAGGAAATAGAGTCTGATGACCACAAACTGGCATTTCTCGACTGTATGGTTGAACGAAGACTTAATAATAGGAAGTTGAAAATAAATGTTTTCAAAAAATCAACACATTCAGATAGATACTTAGATTTTGATTCGGCGCATGCTTTATGTACGAAAGTCACAGTTGTTAAAAATTTAATTAACAGAAGTCTGAAGCTTGTTACAGATGAAGAAGACCAACAATTTGAATTGAATAGGATTTTACCTACACTTAGGGATAACAACTACCCAAAAGAGTTTTTAAAGAAGATTGTTAGAAAGGAAAGAAAAGCTAAACTGCAACATGTACAGAAAGATTGGAAGTCCACTGTAGTCATACCATACCGTAGCGAAACATCGGAGGAAATCAAACGGATTTTAAACAAACATGATATAAGAGTGTATTTTAGAACATGTGACACTATAAGATCGTCATTGGTGAAGGTTAAGGATAGGTTACCAAAGGAAGAACAACAAAATATTGTCTATGAGATCAATTGTCATGATTGTAATGCGGCTTATATTGGAGAAACATCCAGACAATTGAAGGTAAGGTTGAAGGAACACAAACAGTGTTTAAAAAACGTTCCCAAAACCTCGGTTGACTTAAAGAAACTTGAGAATAAGTCTGCAATAGCGTTACATGCGTTGGAAACGGGACACATGATTAATTTTGAAGGGGCCAAAATACTTCAGAAAGGTTTCAACACTCACAAAGAAAGATTGACAGCAGAAGCGCTGTATATATGGGCGAATAAGAACAGCCTAAACAGAAAGGATGGTATTCAGCTAGCTACCACTTGGCAAATATTCATCAACAAGTAATTTGACCTTTTTCTTTTATTCAACCTGTTTACTTCACATGAATCGTTATTATGACTGAAATCAATATGAGTTATGTTTAACATTACAATTTATGTACTTGATGATTCTCATTTTATTTGCAACTTCGATGATTCAGAAAGGAGAAAAACTTTTCAACCTTCATTATGCACGTTTATTCCTATTTTACTTCACATAGAAACATATCAACACTGAATATCATTCATCATTAATAACTTATCTTACACATACATACATACACACAATTTATGCAGTCTCCTTTAATTCACATCTTTGAACTTTTCACTTGACTTATATTATCCTGTTTACAAAAAATTCGACATCCAAATATGATTGGATTAAAAAAGTAGTAGAGATTTTGATATGATTGTAAAAACACTATATATTTCTTTGATGATTTTGATTTTGATTATTTCCCTGAAGAAGTCCAGACAAGTTAGCTGGACGAAACGTTGGAATTATTTAAATTTCAATCGCTGAGACTATTTCAAATATAATTTTTTCACATATAATGAAACAGTATTTAATTTACATAACTCACAAACCTGTATCCTTGATTACGGCTGATGATAATTGGTGAGGAAAATTGAAAAAGAAAAAAAAATGATAAGAGTAAATTAGTGTTTCAATCTATTCGTCAATGAGATAATACATAATAGTTAGTTTTAATTAAATACGACACAAATAAAACTTATAAAATCAATACACCATTGTTAAAGTGTTCCTCTGGGTGCTGTTGTGTACCACATAATCAATGAATAGATTCCATTAAAAGTACATATTAAACTTGAATTCAGTGAATAATGTGCGAAAGAAAAAAAACAACAACATTAAGTTGGAAACATTCTTATTTCACCGATACATCGTATTGTTATTAAACCGTCATATAAAATTTAAAAACTACACTTAAACAAATATTTAAACATTAACTCTACTTAAAGTGTGTAATATAGTTAGTTAACTTATCTAATCTAACTTATCAAAGAATGACACTTTCTAAAAGTCTGTTAGCATAAACAAATTGATGAATGATAATAGATGCCAAAAAGAGAAGTGGATAAACGTAGTTGTCTAAGCAAATAAAAAAACAAACAATCCTTTTTAATAATAATAGAAACCAAAACATTTTTTTAGAATAAAACTATAAAGTAAAACCGGTTGATATAAATCTATATTGGTGTAAATTGTCAATCACCCTTTTTAAACATGTAGATACATGAAATAGTGCAACCATATTTTGGATGTTTACAGTTTGAAGTTATTAAAATATTTAATAAAAGTTTATATTGAAATAATGTTATACATAGATAATTGTATTGAATAAAACAATAAACATAAAGTGAGCACAATGTAATAATTTCATGTAATTAGTTCCCTTTTATGCTTCCAGCTGAATAGGAAATTAGGAAAAAACGTTGAAAGTGGATAGGACATACATCGAGGAAATCACCAATGTGCATTACAAGGCAATCCCTAACTTGGAATCCGGAAGGGAAGCAGAGAAGAGGAAGGCCAATGAACACATTATTCCGGGAAATAGAAACAGATATGAAAAGGATGAATGGTAACTGGAAAGAACTGGAAAGAATTGTTTCGAACAGGGTTGGATGAAGAATGCTAGTTTGCGGCCTATGCCCCTCCACGAGGGATAACAGGCGTAAGTAAGTAAGTTCTCTTTTATGAATTTAAATAAAGGCGGAACAAATATTGGTGCAGAATAATATGAATTCATTATATTTTGTGGTTTCTCATCAGCTGCTTACAATTACGTATGTATTAGAATTTTAGCATTGGGGTAATAAATACTGTGGAACAATGAAGAAACTACGAAATATAATGAATTCATATTATTCTGCCTGTTACCCCTCGTGGAGGAGCATAGGCCGCACATTAGTTTTCTCCATCCAACCCTGTCCCAAACAATCCTTTCCAGTTCTTTCCAGTTACCATTCATCCTTTTCATATCTGTTTCTATTTCCCGGAATAATGTGTTCATTGGCCTTCCTCTTTTCTGCTTCCCTTCCGGATTCCAAGTTAGGGATTGCCTCGTGGTGCACATTGGTGATTTCCTCGATGTATGTCCTATCCACTTCCAACGTTTTTTCCTAATTTCCTATTCAGCTGGAAGCATAAAAGGGAACTAATTATTATAATGTAATAATTTGATTATATAGTAATACTACTAATAATAATTGGCAATATTTTACAAATGCCCATGTTAATACGAAGTTGAATGGATCTTAGAAAAAGTAAATGGTATAGGCAAATTCTTTAATATTTAATAAATAAACTGAAGATTTTAATGCTGGTTTGTTTTAATTATTTGATAAGTTAGTAATAATATAAAGTTTGTTTTAATAAATAAAACCAATTTATTATTGAATTATTTACTTACATAATCTACCAATGTTTTTAGATAATGGCTTTTGACCTTGGGATAATTCTTCAATAATGGAGATATCAGATGGTTTACGAGGTTTCGACAAAGCTTTTTGTAAAATATATTTAATGGTTATAAATTATTATTCATATATGAGATTTTAGAGTTTCAAGCACAAATGAAGTGTAAATTTATAACAAATAGGATACTAATTGTCCTTTATCAGTTTTTTGATCAATCGAATCAAATTACTCAATGCTCACTTTTATGTAATTTTGAGAAACAATAGGAATGGAATCACACCCAATCAGTCATGGATAACTTAGAATATGAGAAGAAGGAGTATCAGTTCAATGTACCACATTCGTAACACACATAACCTTTGGGTCCCATATGGAGTACAGTACATGTAGACGATAATTTGAAGCTATATGTTGTCAATTTCACGAAATATGGCGAATTGGCCAAAGTTAGAAAATAAATAGTTAATTTGTAACTTATTGAATTGTATACTATGTTGAATATGAGACTTAGAATTTCTGAATACGAATCCATGTGAAGTCATAAGTGTACTGTCATAAAGTTTTGGAAGAAAAACACATTTTGTAGAAGGGTGAGTAACAACGGGGTGTTGAAAGTTTATTTTAGAACAGATTTGTGGTAACTGCAGATATAAGTCAAAATTTAACCCGACACTGAACTTCATAAGAAATGTGCATTCAAATAAAAATATGCTTAGGTTTAACGAAAAATTATTGTCAGGAGACGTGGTGATTTATATCAAAAGCTTGAATAGTGAGGTTTCGAACCTAAATTTATTTCGTATGTAACCAACTCCATATGTTTGTCCGACCTCTTTTCCAACATCAAGTATATAAATGGTCTTCCCGAAATCTTTGAAATAATGTATTTGCCACGTTTCAGCACTAAGAAATGTAGTTTAATGACGTTTTAAAAAATTAAAAGCTTCGGATCACAGTTTAATTTCTTGATTGATCCAATAATTCTAATGATAGGGAAGGTAATCATGACCTATTAATGGGACTAATAAGCCTTCAAGAAGGAAGTGTTATGAATGATTACTTGAGACATCCATTACTGACTGTATCCTAGACACTATTCGAAGCAATTTTCACCTAAAATATTTACTTAGAGGTTCATATTCAGAAGTCACATAACAGAAATAAATCTACAATCACTAATATACATTACGATAAGTAGAATGATTTCAGATTGCAATAACTGTAATCATTTCATTAGCTAAGTAACACTTTTAATGTTGTGGGGTGAGTTATGGTAATGTCCTTATAGGTAATTCCCGGTTCACAAAATGTCACAGGTTATTATTTTTTTAATAATATTTATCACTACTTATAAGTTGTAGGTAGTACAAACAGTTTAAATATACTACGCTGAAGGAAGTGGTTTTCAAAAAAGAACACAATTTATGAAGCTCGATAACAAACTGTAAATCGTATAGAATTTCCTCCTTTCTATACTCTTACGATTATTCAGCACATAAAAATGTCGTACAATAGTTCAGAAGGAAGCGAATTATTCAATAAGTCGTTTGCAAACATATATATGAAAAGTTTAAGTGATGGAATTCAGCATCTATAAAGTGCTTATTATTTGAGTATTTGACGTTTACCAAAATGGAAAAGAATTTTACAATATGCCACAATATGATAGCAAAGTTGGTCAGTTATAGTAGGTATAGCACCTGACAAACATCTATTTCTGTCCAAAGTTATATCTCACAACAACTATCAAGTAAGTAAATTGATAAGTTAAAAATTAGAGCATAAGAAATAATAATATAAATTGATATGGCTAGACAGAAATAAAAGTCAGATATAAAAAGGAACGGATGGAGCTGAAGAATAAAACAGATGGAATCATTTTCATGAACATACGGAGTAGACGTTACTATACTGATGCAAAAGTTTTGGCCATATTTTCGAACATCTCCAAATACAGACTATGATCATTATTCACCTTTTAACTCAGCTTTAGTCAACATTCACAGACTTTATGAATTGATCTCATGTTTTGATCTCCTCATACTTACTTTTTCTCACCCTATTCATATACCGGTCCTCATCATCAGAGAAGTTATGCAGTTGTGATGCATGATGTAACCGCTCTAATCGATGACGGTTCACAACTGACATGCTCCTAACCTCAGCATTACTCATCACGTGTTTCTTCGGTATGTCAGTAACACTTTAAAGACAACTGCGATGGAGCATAAATGTATCTTTTACTTTTTGTAAATCGTACTCCATAGTTGTAAGAAAATGTAAAGTTGGCTGTTGAATATATCAAAAGCTGTGAATAATAAGATTAAGCTACTGGTCGAGTGCATAATGACTTAAAATTTTGAATCCATTCAATCAGCTTTACAATCCGATAAACGTTTGATATTATGTCGATGTTATAAGTGAGAGCAAATATATTTATTTAATTTTTAAGCGTTTTGAAAAAATAAATTTAATTCAGTCACAAATGATAATTAACTATCTGTATATAAACAAACAATCCATCATATATGTCATACGTTTCCAAAAATGTCTGTATTAAAAGCTGTAGCTGAATGCCTAATGTAAATCAGTCATAAATGTTTATCGAAATAAACGGATCTGTATAAAATTTTGTAGGTAATGTCAGACAAATACGTTTATGAAGAAAGATTTTTGAGATTTAATTTACATACAATTAAAATTTAGTAAACGGGATCAGTTAAATTTAAGTTGATGAGGTCAACATTTATGTCAACATCTAAAAATGACTATTTACCCCTAAATGGGATTTGTAAAAATTACGAATTTCTCAGAGATCATGAATGCAGATGTCCTGTGATGTGGGCTACTTATATCCACATAAGTAGTATATAGTGATGGTCAGACATAGAATGTATTTTGGCAGAAGATCGATAAGCTAAGAACAGGAATGAAGTGCAATCGGTATGAAAATGTATAAACAATGAAATCAGAGAAGACGGAGTGATATTTGCAGAAGGAACAGTTAAAATTGAGAAAATTGATTGTTATTTTGCAAATTAACTGTTTACTGTATGGTTATCAGAATTTAGTGAGTAATTTGTGCTTACATACATTCGATTGTCCCCGCTCGTGTTCTTGTTAACTACAGTCTTACAAATTACTAATTACTCTACAAAGA